CTACCCGAGGCCACCCAACCCCCCTCTCTCAGCTCAGGAGGGGCGCTGTGGCCACATGCCTTGGCCACTTTCCCGGGACAGCCTAGGGCCACATCTTGTCGACGCATGAGGAGCAAGCAAGCTAAGTGTGTCCGCTAGTGTGGTAGTAACTTTGGTAATGAGGAAAAATAAGGGAAAGAGGGCAGTAGAAAGGAGTAGAAATGAGTACTATTACAGTGTGATGAGTACCAGTGGATATTCCCGGTAAGAGTTATCTCAGAGCCTCGCCAGGCTAGAGAAACAGCTGAGGGGCAGCTGTCAGTGGAATCTAGGTGTCGGGTAGGGGCGGTACCTGGAGATAGATATTATACACGGGACCACACTGTATGTTAGTAAGTTAGTAGACTGACTAGAGGATGTAACCAGTCAGTGTAGAGATTTACCATATAAGTGATCCAGCCTGTCGATTCTATATAATCGTTCAGGCTGGATTAATGCCATAGAGTACAGTAAAATTATAATCATTAGAGGTAGATTACTTGGTGATTTGATTTTCATGGATTATGTGAATGCCATTTCTCTGTGTTCATTTGCATGTTTATGTACTGTGTTGTGTGGTAAGTCAGTAGAGGTGATTGCTGACTGATTGCCTAATGATGTCATTAGCATGTGGGGTATGCTGACGGCATCATTATGTTGCAGGTTTGTGCAGTGTTGTTTCAGTTTATACAATATTATTGCCCCAGGAACTGTGTTGAGGGTTTAAGGGACCTCTAGGATTATTCAGGGGAATTTTCAGTACTTATTGAGAGCAGGCAATTGATGGGTTAATTGCCTGGCCGAGGTATGTGTGTGTTCACAGTATTCCTTTGCAATCAGGTGCAAGAAGTAAAAGAGGGGGGGCAGTAATATTAGTATACTTGTGTGTGTTGCACAACCGTGTGTTTTATTGTGTGGGCACAGTAATTAGCAAGTTGCAGTAGACGCAACCATATGTGGGTAGTGCTGATATGATGTTGCATGCGATAATAGTGTGACCTATGTAACGCTGGGGTTACTTTGTTTCTTTAAGTTATGTTGAAGACTTAAGGATTCAGTGAGTTAATTAAGGGGTAATTAACTGGATAAGGGGTGCACACTTAGTATTGTGGAGTGAGTGAGGGCTGTTATAAGAGAAACAGTGTTGAGCTAGAATGAGATACGTCTCGGGAGCAATTAATTGTCCATGTGACAGTTAATTGACCACTCTAGCTAATTATGTAATTAGCCTTCTCATCATGAATTCACATAGTGGGAGAGGTTCTGTCAGAGTCTGTCAGTATTTGTGTTAACGTAATATGCTCGAGACTAATTACCTTTCAGGGGTATAGCAATTAGTGGCTCATGTTAATTAGTGGAGTAATTAGCATTGGAGAGCTCCGGTGACTCGGTAAAGTGAGGTCATGGAGCTAGCATAAATCGTTGTATTAATCATATCCTGTCTGAGGACAGTGGATTATTGGCACATCTCGTTAATTAGGGTAATTAACTCCCTTCCCGTGAATTCACAGCGTTTGATGAGACCTGCTTAGGCAGTGCGGAGTGAGACGTATTTCTGGATGATTAATTATCGGTCCTGGTGACAGATAATTAATGGCTCAAGTAATTAGTGGTTTAATTAGGGTAATTAACACTCACTCGTAATTTTTTTTTACACAGACTGTGGAGAAGCTACCAAGTTAGGGTAGGCTTAGTTAACGTAACTCAATGGGGATGTAATTAGTGATCCGTTTTACCTTAATTGAGAATTACTCACTGAATACTTGCAAGGAGTCAAGTGTGGTGTAATATGTTGAGTTATTGTTAACAAGAGAGAGACAAGTGTTAAAGATTAACGTAGAGTATCATCATGTTGTTGTCTAGTGGGAGACAATTGTTTGTGATTACCGTGGTACTTTGTTGCTGACTGCTGCGATCAGTCAATTAACGTAATTAATCACTTAAGGCAATTTCTTTTGGTTGTCGTCTAGTGACGAGAGAAGAGTCATCTAGGGATCTGTGGAGCTGTGTCCCAGAATCCCGCCTTGCCTGTCTGTGTATCGGGTTACAACAGGACAACTTCTTAGTGGGAGTTGCAAAGAGTGTTCACACGGGGTTGTGATAGGGGGGTGTCACTGTTAGACTTCCGCCTAGTTACGTGGGTCTCTCCTAGGGGGCGGGAGGACCCCTAAGCTTGTGATTATAGTAGCTGTCAGGGAAACCAAGACACTATTGATTGCCTGCTTGTGTCTTTGTTTCAGTGGATCCTTCATTTGTTCAGTTAGTTCATGTTGTCAGCCCGAAGTGTCAGCAAGATGGAGCCTGCTGTCACTTCTCGAGGGGCTGTTGAATAGCTGTGTTGCAAATGCCACTTGATGTACAATAACGTAACCATTCGCTGTGGTGTAACTTAGTCTGTGATATTTTTCTTTGATTTGCAATATTGCGTCATCAGTGGGCACACCTGTGTTCAGGTTAGTTCAGTATGCAGCCTCACAGCAAGGGTTGCTATGTAGCTGTTTGTTATCGTGCCACTGGATGGACATTAACGTAATGTAAACTCGGTAATGTAGTAGTTAGTCTCTTGTTATTAATAAATTGTTATGTTATAGAAAACAGTCTTTGATGTCAACCCTTCAACCATATTATTCCACCATATTTCTGCATATTATTATTAAATGTTGATGTGATCTTGATAAGGCGGCTGTTCTTGGGAATTCGCATTCCAATTCATAGTGCCACTTCAAATATAAATATTTGATTGTGAGAACCCGTCGGTTACCCTTTATTAGTTTTAACGTCCTGTTAACTAGGAGCCAGCGGCCTATTGTGGACAGGTTTTCACCCTTGGTAGTGGAGGCCTGGCGGTTTGCTCCCGCTTTTCCTTTTTTCTACTGGATTCATGCTTAACTGCCGTGAGCAAACTTTAAACTTGTAGTCCACCTCTTAAGGGAGGTAGGCGTAGAGAAAAATCTTACAGCATCTTCATGTTCCAGTCGTGTTTTTACTCTCTCATGGTGGGTAGAGTGAATAGTTCCATAATTTGGGTATTTATGTTAGATTGTTCTATTTTTAAGTAGATTGTTTCAAGAAATTGTAATCTTCTTACATCTTAGATTTTGTCTATTATACAAGTGTTTTTATACAACATTTCTCTTATTTGGGTGATGTCATGGGCTTGTCTCTTGTGATTTTTGGCGGCACCTGATTGAAGATGACAGGTCTAATGCCTCGTCAGCTTGGTCGACGTCATCCCTATGTACTTTGAGATTTGAAGGCTACGTCCTTCGTGGGGGCAGGTGTACATATATACCACGTTTGACTGTTGCAAAGGGTTCTCCGTCGGCTTCACACTGTTTATAATAAGGAGGTCGGTAGTCTTCTTTGTTTTATAGAATATGATTAGGTCTATGTTTTGGTTAGGAGTTATGCTTTTTACTCTTTTACGGATTATTTCTTTCATTATTCGTTCTTCTTTTTTATGTTCGCTGTGCATGGTGTATTTATATTATAATTTTATTGGAGTTGTTGTGGTTTCTGTTCTTGGTTCAGGATTGTACCATCGATCAAGGTGTCGCCTTATTGTAGTGTTTATTTTCGTGTTGCTATATCCGTTGTTCACCAACACCTGGGTTATTTTTTCAGACTCCCTACTCACGTTGCTCCATTCAGAGCAGTGGGTAAGAGTTCGACGAATATAAGCGTTGAGAACACTGGCTTTGTATCTTTGTCGTAGCTTACTGGACATTGCTAAACTAGCTCACGAGAGAGATACTTGTATAATGTACATGGGTTGAATACATTAGTAAAGGTTTCCTATATACTCTTCGGAACACAGTGGCTATCTATGTTCTTGTGCAATACCCTGACAGCAGCACAAGATTATCCAATAGGCCAAATAGGCCATGGCCTAGGGCCCACCAGCACCAGGGAGCCCACCAGCACCAGGGGGGCCCACAAGCACCAGGGGGCCCACCACTGTCTACATGCAATGTTTACCCTTTGAATGACGACACTTACCAGAAGGTGTCATTTAACTGTTATGACCTAGCGTCCAAAAACAGTTAGATCCAGCCCTACCTAAGAGGTTGGATAACAAACACAATATGGTCAATAGTATATATATTAGGTATAGAGTTATAATTTATACAGTAGGGAGTATAAGCAGGCAGTATGGTGAGGCAGATTTAAGGTTGGCTAACTGGAGGATGATTCCGTCTGGTGAGTTGACTGGGTCGAGACAGGTCAGATGATGTTCCTCCAGGCTACTTCGAGCTGGTATTTTAATGCTGATCTGGTAATGATATTGAAGCTGTGTCAGGCATTTGTATTCATCCGTCTGCCAGCGAGACACGGAGCAACGCTGCTTGCTCATTGGTCGAGGAGCACCGGCTTGGTCCTTGGCCAAGCCGGCAATGTGCTGGCGTCAGTGTAGCGTCTGTGAGTATTGCTGGCGGTACTTAGTCGACTTGAGAATGGTCCAGGACGGACCGATACGTCGTCGTCCCTTCACCTTCTAGTGTGTGGTCTGGTCAACATACTTCAGCCACGTTATTGTGACTCATCGCCTGCAACTGGTACTCAAATATAGGTGTTGAAAATTATGTATACTAGTGCAGGCGTCGTACGGTGTTGTGTAGATGTACACAACTGAGGTGTGGGTGTGTCAGCTACTGTTTCCTGTTAGTGCCAGACGACACTAGGTGTGGGTGTGTCAGCTACTGTTTCCTGTTAGTGCCAGGCGACACTAGGTGTGGGTGTGTCAGCTACTGTCTCCTGTTAGTGCCAGACGACACTAGTGCGAGTATTAGTGGTGCGTGGAGGGAGGGAGGTGCACATTACCGAGCAAGAGAAGACCCTTTTATAACACTTAAATTAAGATGAATGAGCTGGTGGCATGTTATGTATCAGTATCAGAGTATTGATACTCATAGGTTATATAATATTTTATTCTGTATTTGGAGGGTTATCAGCCACCAATATATATATTGGTGGCTGATAACCCTCCATATATATATAGATGATGTATTGGGGTGTATGGCAATATGGTATGTTGTATTATACCATATAGTGTATGAGAGGAAAGGCTGGCGTGAAAGAGTACAGGTATTATGCAGGTCCTTTTCCAGTGATCATACGTGTACAGAGAGGGAGGCAGAGCCAGGCTGTCTGTGTTGCCCATCTTATTGTATCCTTATATATAAGTAATTATTAAGTTAAACCATTTAAGAATGTTATAATTTTAGTTATCCATATTAGACTGAGTGAAATAGTATGATTGTATATTGTAAATTGTTTGAGAGTAATTATTTCAGTTTGTAGTGTGTTAATTTATTAATAAAAAGATTGAATCGGAAGTAGGCAACTCAGAGGTGAGGGAGACATTCGTCTGTCGGAGAGGAGCGCGGCTGGTACCCTCAGTAGCAAGTAGAGAGGTCTGTTGACAACATATCTGTGTCAGTTTAAGTATTGTCTGGTTGTGTTCATAACCGTAGGGTGGTTAATTGGTCTGGTATTCTATTATATGTCCATCTGTGTTTATATAGTTAATTGTGATCAATAAGTCCATTTTGAGCTAATTTGTCATTTTAAGTTATTATAATTATAAGTTTAACTTTTGTTCTTCGTATTGTGTTCCTCCCTGAATATTCTTCACTGGTGCCTGCTTAAGTACCTCGTTGGGTTTTTGAGGATCATACTCTTGAGCATAAGAACGTGATAGGCCTAGGTATTAGTTATTCCTGTGTGAGGCACGAGCCAAGTCATAACCAAGGTTGGTAACATGGCACTGTACAGTGTCAGCGAGGAAGACAACTGTGATGGCACTTCTTGTTGATTATGACAATAAAATGTTTCGTTTACAACACTTGGGCATCGGTGTGGAGGTCAGTATTGCATCGGCAGGGAGAGCCAAGGCGTGAGGTCAAGGCCCGGGATGCCTGGACTGTCACAAGGTACTCTCTCGTTCCTGAAAAGCAAGGAAAAAAGTTAATTGAACGTCTTGCACTTAGCAACCAAGCATTTTAAAAGCTAGAATCGTTAAACCTTTCATGGATCCCAAACTGAAACCAGGAAGACTTAACACAAATATGTACATCTACATTATTCAGCCACCCTAGAATATGAAGGGGGATACATAGTATATCTTAGCTTACTGATGCGAAAATGGTTAGTCTCACAAGGCCACGAGATCAGGCCACCTTCGATGGATATCATCAAAGGATGCAAGAGTTAATAAAGTAGCAGCGATACTAAAAGTTCCCATCTGGCAGGATTTCTTTATGCTGAGTTAAGGTGACTTAGTTATGTGTGCTAGGCAGGAACAGGCCAGTTAATTTTTTGGTAGATTAGGTAAATCTGGAAACGAGTTTGAGAGCCGAAGCTAAAATGTCTGACCTCAGATGTCTCACAGTCCACGAAAAGGCAATGGGCTGGATGCAGCCCTACACAATATAAAGAGTGACCACCCCATCCTCCTGTTTTGGTAGTACTTATAGTATCAATGTAGACCCTAATATATATACCGATGAACAGCGAAATTAGAAAGTAGAAATCTGAACTATTGAGTAGGACAAACCAGAAAACTATTTTAACTTGTGTTGCTTTGACAAACGAAACTAACCTAACCTTCCTAGGCCTAATACACGATATCTGAGGCCTAATACAGTACTTATGTGTGCTATACTAGGCCTGGGAATATTTAAGTTTGTGTTTTAGCTTCATTTATTTTAACAGAATTCATTACTGGTCAGTATTTTACTATCTAAAAGCTAAGTACGTACGAATTCGTGACTATTGACGAAGGTCACGATAGGTACTATCTAAACAAGAGGAGAGGCTGGTGTGACTCACAGTCCTCGGGGCTGGCGGAAGGCGAGGGGCTGGACGTAGCCCAACATGTCTCCAGTCTCACACAGGACGCGGGCCCAAGACATCATCCGGATCGAGTTGAGTTGTTCTGCAAGAATATTGCATTATAAGTTTGATGTTGTTATTAAGGTAATGTCTTAACTCACAGTTGCGGTACAAGTGTGACATTATATGATGTTGTTACTAAGGTAATGTTGCCTTAACTCACAGTTGTATTCCCCTAGTTGTGTTTGCTCTTTCGGCCCGCCTATCAACTGTCAATCAACTGTTTATTAACTACTTTTTTCCCACACCACACACACACACACACACACACACCAGGAAATAGCCCTGGTGTGTGTGTGACTAACTCCCAGGTACCTATTTACTGCTAGGTAACAGAGGCATTCAGGGTGAAAGAAACTTTGCCCATTTGTTTTTGCCTGGTGCGGGACTCGAACCCGCGCCACAGAATTACGAGTCCTGCGCGCTATCCACCAGGCCCCCTTTGTTGTTGTGGTACAAGTGTAACATTATATGATGTTGTTACTAAGGTAATGTTGCCTTAACTCGCAGTTGTGGTACAAGTGTAACATTATATGATGTTGTTACTAAGGTAATGTTGCCTTAACTCGCAGTTGTGGTACAAGTGTAACATTATATGATGTTGTTACTAAGGTAATGTTGCCTTAACTCACAGTTGTGGTACAAGTGTGACATTATATGATGTTGTTACTAAGGTAATGTTGCCTTAACTCACAGTTGTGGTACAAGTGTGACATTATATGATGTAGTTACTAAGGTAATGTTGCCTTAACTCACAGTTGTGGTACAAGTGTGACATTATATGATGTTGTTACTAAGGTAATGTTGCCTTAACTCACAGTTGTGGTACAAGTGTGACATTATATGATGTTGTTACTAAGGTAATGTTGCCTTAACTCACAGTTGTGGTACAAGTGTGACATTATATGATGTAGTTACTAAGGTAATGTTGCCTTAACTCACAGTTGTGGTACAAGTGTGACATTATATGATGTTGTTACTAAGGTAATGTTGCCTTAACTCACAGTTGTGGTACAAGTGTGACATTATATGATGTTGTTACTAAGGTAATGTTGCCTTAACTCACAGTTGTGGTACAAGTGTGACATTATATGATGTAGTTACTAAGGTAATGTTGTATTAACTTAAATGTTCAACATATATTATTCTGCTTCCTTAACAAGCACAATATCTGATATATAAATCATTTTAAAAATGTCCATTTCGTTTGGCAACAGATTTAACATAATTGTTAGTTATGGTCAATTGGTAATGGATAAAAAGAGGATCTGGTTAGAATTCTTTTTTCCCTTATTATAATCATTATTAGATGTACAGTTCTACATACCTGGAGGCTCTATTATTTTATTATGTTAAAAATCGCAGTTCATTTATAAGAGAAATGGGTAATACTTATCGTTCTAACTCGATTCAGTGATCGGTGAGTCAAACGCCCCAAGAAACGTTCATAATACTCTTGTCTACTTTTGGGTCATACAAGTTAATTAATTTTGAGTTAAATGATGTAATTTGACGTCCTTTAATATGTTGACAATTGTGGTAGGCGTCGTCATTTGTTTCGAATACGCAAATTGTTTTAAGTTTCAGTGTCATATTATCCTATGGGCACGTATTATCCTAATGGACACGTAAGTACATGTTGAGTGAATTTGACAACATCCATATTTATATTAACAACTGACACATCAGATGACTGGAAGTGTCAACAGACCTGGGGGGAAGGTGGCTGGCTTGTCCGCCAGGTCGTAGAAGAACCTGTCCCCTCGCTTCAGGCGGGTGAACTGGTCGCCGATGATGCACCTGTGGCGGGAAAACACGTGATTGGTTAAGCACTCCTGTGTGTGTGGCGGGAAAGTATGTGATTGGTGAAACATCCATCTTTATGGTTGGAAAACATGGGATTATTGAGACGTCTGTGTAATTGCTCAAGAATTGACCAGTAATTGGTCAGTTATTGTACGTACGATGGTGTAATTGGTCAACAATTCCTCTGTGTACTTGTAAAATATGACTGGTAAACCAGTTTTGTGTGGTGTGATGACGTGGTCACCAATATTACATGTATAAATCGTAAAAATATCCTGTTCCAAAATAATATGCATTTCTGGTATAAAAAGCCCGACATGCTGCAATTTGTTATGTAATAAAGGAGTTAGTAAGAGATGTAAACATTACTAGCATTTTTGGCATCTTCTCTTTCCTGCTTTAGTGTTACCTCACCTGTAACCCATTCCTCCCTGGCTCCTGTAACCCACTCCTCCCTGGCTCCTGTAACCCACTCCTCCCTGGCTCCTGTAACCCACTCCTCCCTGGCTCCAGTAACCCACTTCTCCCTGGCTCCTGTAACCCACTCCTCCCTGGCTCCTGTAACCCACTCCTACTTGGCTCCTGTAACCCACTCCTCCCTGGCTCCTGTAACCCACTCCTCCCTGGCTCCTGTAACTCACTCCTCCCTGGCTCCTGTAACCCACTCCTCCCTGGCTCCTGTAACCCACTCCTCCCTGGCTCCTGTAACTCACTCCTCCCTGGCTCCTGTAACCCACTCCTCCCTGGCTCCTGTAACCCACTTCTCCCTGGCTCCTGTAACCCACTCATCCTTGGCTCCTCTAACCCACTCCTCCCTGGCTCCTGTAACTCACTCCTCCCTGGCTCCTGTAACCCACTCCTCCCTGGCTCCTGTAACCCACTCCTCCCTGGCTCCTGTAACCCACTCCTCCCTGGCTTCTGTAACCCACTCCTACTTGGCTCCTGTAACCCACTCCTCCCTGGCTCCTGTAACTCACTCCTCCCTGGCTCCTGTAACCCACTCCTCCCTGGCTCCTGTAACCCACTTCTCCCTGGCTCCTGTAACCCACTCCTCCTTGGCTCCTCTAACCCACTCCTCCCTGGCTCCTGTAACTCACTCCTCCCTGGCTCCTGTAACCCACTCCTCCCTGGCTCCTGTAACCCACTCCTCCCTGGCTCTTGTAACCCACTCCTCCCTGGCTCCTGTAACCCACTCCTCCCTGGCTCCTGTAACCCACTCCTCCCTGGCTCCTATAACCCACTCCTCCCTGGCTCCTATAACCCACTCCTCCCTGGCTCCTGTAACCCACTCCTCCCTGGCTCCTGTAACCCACTCCTCCCTGGCTCCTGTAACTCACTCCTCCCTGGCTCCTGTAACCCACTCCTCCCTGGCTCCTGTAACCCACTACTCCCTGGCTCTTATAACCCACTCCTCCCTGGCTCCTGTAACCCACTACTCCCTGGCTCCTATAACCCACTCCTCCCTGGCTCCTATAACCCACTCCTCCCTGGCTCCCGTAACCTACTCCTCCCTGGCACCTGTAACCCACTCCTCCCTGGCTCCCGTAACCTACTCCTCCCTGGCTCCTGTAACCCACTCCTCCCCTCTTCTCTATCCCTCCTTTTAACCTTTTTCCGCTTTATTACAAATGACTATAGACATTTGTAATAAAGTAGAAGGAGGAGTGAAAATTATTTTTCACTTAAGTAGAAGGAAGAGTGAAAATTATTAAACATTTATATTATTATTATAATAAATATTATAATAATAATTGTTGCATTTAATAATTTTCACTCTTCCTTCCACTTGCTCTTGAAGGAGGCCGACTTCGGGTGAAAGGAGTTGTGATGAACTTTGTCTGGAACCCGTAGGTGCGGGACCGGGACGTCCACCTCCTGGGGGTCGTGCGGCCCGGGCTCTGTTTCAGGAGTCTGGGGTCGTATATACCCTTGATGGGGTGGTTCTCCTCCGGCCCCGACCACGGCGGTCTACGGCGTTGGAGTCCCTGTGCCCATTTTTAACCAACTTCGAGGTCAACCCCGGAACTCACAGTTCCTGCGACGGCGCTGGAACCAATCGTATTGGCATATACCTTTTCATTGGAGACTTTCAGCGCCGTGTAGAGGGGGAACCTGCTGCCTGGGTAACAGCTTCTCCCCCGAATCAACCTACCCTGTCTTTGCGCCCTGGTGAGGCCACTCCAGGCCAGGCCGACACCAGAGCGCAACTCCATAGACTCCTGAGACTTATGGATGCCTACTCCTAGTACTCTACGTCCGTCTTAATGCCCCTAATGTCTCCTATTGCCCTTCACCTGGAGGTGGGTCCCCCCTCCTGTTACCCCTCACCTGGAGGTGGGTTCCTCCTCCTGTTGCCCTACACCTGGAGGTGGGTCCCTCCTCCTGTTGCCCCTCACCTGGAGGTGGGTCCCCCCTCCTGTTGCCCCTCACTTGGAGGTGGGTCCCCCCTCCTGTTGCCCTACACCTGGAGGTGGGTCCCCCCTCCTGTTACCCCTCACCTGGAGGTGGGTCCCCGCTCCTGTTGCCCCTCACCTGGAGGTGGGTCCCCCCTCCTGTTACCCGTCACCTGGAGGTGGGTCCCCGCTCCTGTTGCCCTACACCTGGAGGTGGGTCCCCCCTCCTGTTGCCCCTCACCTGGAGGTGGGTCCCCCCTCCTGTTACCCCTCACCTGGAGGTGGGTCCCCGCTCCTGTTGCCCTACACCTGGAGGTGGGTCCCCCCTCCTGTTACCCCTCACCTGGAGGTGGGTCCCCGCTCCTGTTGCCCTACACCTGGAGGTGGGTCCCCCCCTCCTGTTACCCCTCACCTGGAGGTGGGTCCCCGCTCCTGTTGCCCTACACCTGGAGGTGGGTCCCCCCTCCTGTTACCCCTCACCTGGAGGTGGGTCCCCGCTCCTGTTGCCCTACACCTGGAGGTGGGTCCCCCCTCCTGTTACCCCTCACCTGGAGGTGGGTCCCCGCTCCTGTTGCCCTACACCTGGAGGTGGGTCCCCCCCTCCTGTTACCCCTCACCTGGAGGTGGGTCCCCGCTCCTGTTGCCCTACACCTGGAGGTGGGTCCCCCCTCCTGTTACCCCTCACCTGGAGGTGGGTCCCCCCTCCTGTTGCCCTACACCTGGAGGTGGGTCCCCCCTCCTGTTACCCCTCACCTGGAGGTGGGTCCCCGCTCCTGTTGCCCTACACCTGGAGGTGGGTCCCCCCCTCCTGTTACCCCTCACCTGGAGGTGGGTCCCCGCTCCTGTTGCCCTACACCTGGAGGTGGGTCCCCCCTCCTGTTACCCCTCACCTGGAGGTGGGTCCTCGCTCCTGTTGCCCTACACCTGGAGGTGGGTCCCCCCTCCTGTTACCCCTCACCTGGAGGTGGGTCCCCGCTCCTGTTGCCCTGCACCTGGAGGTGGGTCCCCCCCTCCTGTTGCCCCTCACCTGGAGGTGGGTCCCCGCTCCTGTTGCCCTACACCTGGAGGTGGGTCCCCCCTCCTGTTACCCCTCACCTGGAGGTGGGTCCCCCCCTCCTGTTGCCCTACACCTGGAGGTGGGTCCCTCCTCCTGTTGCCCCCTCACCTGAAGGTGGGTCCCCCTCCTGTTGCCCCTCACCTGAAGGTGGGTCCCAGGAGAGCCCCCGGTGCGGGCCTCTCGGAGATACCGGCCACGAAGGGGTCGATGTCATCGACGGAGGCGTAGAGCTGCTTGAACACCTGCACCACCTGTAGGGGGAGCGGAGATCTCATATTAGTGGATGCTGCAGATGGTGTATGTTGAGTGAGTCCTCGACACCCGGTCTTAGCGGTGGCAGGTCTAAGTAAGTTGTGGGATGACCATGTAAGTGGTAGGACCCCCATGTTAGTGGTGGGAACCCCCCCCCCCCCCATGTTAGTGGCGGGACCCCCCTATGTTAGTGGCTATTTTAATTAATAATATATGGAGTCTAATACTGTAGTGAATGTTAGTCAATCAATTTTGAGTGACTACAGATATAAATCCATAACCCCCTTTAATGTGTAAAGGAGTCGATTTGCGAGAATTTCCAGAAATCCGGTTCACTAAAAATCATACAGTTTGCTATCGAAATATATAAATTAACGTAAATATAAATTCTATATAAATTTATATAAATTTTATAAATATAAATCTCACAAGTCGGTTCCATACACAAGAGTCTTTCAAAATGGAGGAAAAACTAGCAGATGCAGTTTAATGCAATGACGCATTTTACATGATTAATTTTATTTTTAATTTCAGTATTGTGACAAATGAATGGTAGTAGTGACTGTGGTGTAGGTGGTGGTGGTAGTGACTGTTGTGTAGGTGGTGGTGGTAGTGACTGTGGTGTAGGTGGTGGTGGTAGTGACTGTTGTGTAGGTGGTGGTGGTAGTGACTGTTGTGTAGGTGGTGGTGGTAGTGACTGTGGTGTAGGTGGTGGTGGTAGTGACTGTTGTGTAGGTGGTGGTGGTAGTGACTGTTGTGTAGGTGGTGGTGGTAGTGACTGTTGTGTAGGTGGTGGTGGTAGTGACTGTTGTGTAGGTGGTGGTGGTAGTGACTGTTGTGTAGGTGGTGGTGGTAGTGACTGTTGTGTAGGTGGTGGTGGTAGTGACTGTTGTGTAGGTGGTGGTGGTAGTGACTGTTGTGTAGGTGGTGGTGGTAGTGACTGTTGTGTAGGTGGTGGTGGTAATGACTGTTGTGTAGGTGGTGGTGGTAGTGACTGTTGTGTAGGTGGTGGTGGTAGTGACTGTTGTGTAGGTGGTGGTGGTAGTGACTGTGGTGTAGGTGGTGGTGGTAGTGACTGTTGTGTAGGTGGTGGTGGGAGTGACTGTTGTGTAGGTGGTGGTGGTAGTGACTGTGGTGTAGGTGGTGGTGGTAGTGACTGTTGTGTAGGTGGTGGTGGTAATGACTGTTGTGTAGGTGGTGGTGGTAATGACTGTGGTGTAGGTGGTGGTGGTAGTGACTGTGGTGTAGGTGGTGGTGGTAGTGACTGTTGTGTAGGTGGTGGTGGTAGTGACTGTGGTGTAGGTGGTGGTGGTAGTGACTGTTGTGTAGGTGGTGGTGGGAGTGACTGTTGTGTAGGTGGTGGTGGTAGTGACTGTTGTGTAGGTGGTGGTGGTAGTGACTGTGGTGTAGGTGGTGGTGGTAGTGACTGTTGTGTAGGTGGTGGTGAGAGTGACTGTTGTGTAGGTGGTGGTGGTAGTGACTGTTGTGTAGGTGGTGGTGGTAGTGACTGTGGTGTAGGTGGTGGTGGTAGTGACTGTTGTGTAGGTGGTGGTGGGAGTGACTGTTGTGTAGGTGGTGGTGGTAGTGACTGTGGTGTAGGTGGTGGTGGTAGTGACTGTTGTGTAGGTGGTGGTGGTAATGACTGTTGTGTAGGTGGTGGTGGTAATGACTGTGGTGTAGGTGGTGGTGGTAGTGACTGTGGTGTAGGTGGTGGTGGTAGTGACTGTTGTGTAGGTGGTGGTGGTAGTGACTGTGGTGTAGGTGGTGGTGGTAGTGACTGTTGTGTAGGTGGTGGTGGGAGTGACTGTTGTGTAGGTGGTGGTGGTAGTGACTGTTGTGTAGGTGGTGGTGGTAGTGACTGTGGTGTAGGTGGTGGTGGTAGTGACTGTTGTGTAGGTGGTGGTGAGAGTGACTGTTGTGTAGGTGGTGGTGGGAGTGACTGTTGTGTAGGTGGTGGTGGGAGTGACTGTGGTGTAGGTGGTGGTGGTAGTGACTGCTGTGTAGGTGGTGGTGGTAGTGACTGTTGTGTAGGTGGTGGTGGGAGTGACTGTTGTGTAGGTGGTGGTGGTAGTGACTGTTGTGTAGGTGGTGGTGGTAGTGACTGTTGTGTAGGTGGTGGTGGTAGTGACTGTTGTGTAGGTGGTGGTGGGAGTGACTGTTGTGTAGGTGGTGGTGGTAGTGACTGTTGTGTAGGTGGTGGTGGTAGTGACTGTTGTGTAGGTGGTGGTGGGAGTGACTGTTGTGTAGGTGGTGGTGGGAGTGACTGTTGTGTAGGTGGTGGTGGGAGTGACTGTGGTGTAGGTGGTGGTGAGAGTGACTGTTGTGTAGATGGTGGTGGTAGTGACTGTTGTGTAGGTGGTGGTGGGAGTGACTTGTATAGGTGGTGGTTGTAGTGACTGTTATGAAGGTGGTGGTAGTGACTGTTGTGTAGGCGGTAGTAGTGACTGTTGTGTAGGTGGTAGTAGTGACTTGTGTAGGTGGTGGTAGTGACTGTTGTGTAGGTGGTGGTAGTGACTGTTGTGTAGGTGGTGGTAGTGACTGTTGTGTAGGTGGTGGTAGTGACTGTTGTGTAGGTGGTGGTAGTGACTGTTGTGTAGGTGGTGGTAGTGACTGTTGTGTAGGTGGTGGTAGTGACTGTTGTGTAGGTGGTGGTAGTGACTGTTGTGTAGGTGGTGGTAGTGACTGGTGTGTAGGTGGTGGTAGTGACTGGTGTGTAGGTGGTGGTAGTGACTGTTGTGTAGGTGGTGGTAGTGACTGTTGTGTAGGTGGTGGTAGTGACTGTTGTGTAGGTGGTGGTAGTGACTGTTTTGTAGGTGGTGGTAGTGACTGTTGTGTAGGTGGTGGTAGTGACTGTTGGGTAGGTGATAGTAGCGACTGTGGTATAGGTGGTGGTAGTGACTGAATATACAAACCGCCAGATGCAACGGCCGAGGAATTCACAGAACAGATAAACAAAATAGAGAATAGCCTTGATAATTTGGAGAACCCGATACCTGATATTATCTTCCTAGGTGACTTCAACTTGCCTAGTCTCAGATGGAGAATAGCAAACAATAATATTATACCAGGAAATCTATCGAGACCTAACCAACCACAGGTTAGAGAACTACTTAGATTCTGTGACAAATTTTCACTCAACCAGCAGATATCAGAGCCAACGAGAAATGAAAATATTCTAGATCTGGTCTTTATGAACAATGAAGACATTATCAGGGACATTACGATATCAGATACCACATACTCAGATCACAAGCTCATTGAAGTGCAAACGACTATCAGTACTCAGAATAGACCTAAAACGTTGATCAAGCGAGAAGGGTTGTTCAGTAATTTCAATTTTAATAATAAAAGGATAGTCTGGGAGAAAATAAACAGGGAACTTACAAACATTCCATGGGAAACTGTTCTAAGTAATACAAGTCCTACAGAAGGAATAGAAAAACTGACTTCGGAAGCATATTAAGTCTGTCTGCAATATGTTCCTATGAGGAAAGCCTGAAAGAGATCCAACGTAGAAAGAGAACGCAGACGACATTATAAAAGAAGGAAAAATAACGGAAATGCATAAGCAGACACGACTTTCCCGTCGAAGAAGGAATAATTTAAATAGGGAGATTGAAAGAAATCGAGTGGAAATTGAAACACTCATTTCAAACTGAAGAAAGACAGTTAGAACAGAAAACAATTCAGGAAATAAAGAAAAATTCAAAATACTTCTTCACATATGCAAAATCAAAAGCAAAAACCACTGCCAGTATTGGACCTATTCGTACAAGTGAAGGTTCATACACGGAGGATGACAAAGAAATTAGTGAAATCCTAAAAAAACAGTATGAGGACATGTTTAGCACTCCAATAAACAACATGAAAGTGGAAGATCCAGACAATTTCTTTATGCGGGATATCCAAATACCTGTAAATATAACTGATATCAACACGAGCGTACTAGACTTTGAAAGAGAAATTAAAAACATGCCCATGCACTCGGCTCCGGGTCCAGATTCATGGAATTCAATATTTATAAAGAAATGCAAAGTGCCGGTAGCACAGGCACTCATTATAGTGTGGAGGAAGAGCTTGGACACGGGGGAGATACCAGATGCACTTAATAGTAGCAGACATAGCCCCTCTGCACAAGGGAGGGAGCAAAGCATTGGCAAAGAATTACGGACCAGTTGCACTAACGTCGCACATAATAAAAGTATTTGAGAGAGTGATTAGGAGTCAGGTCACCAATTTCATGGAGACCAATGACCTTCACAACCCAGGCCAACATGGATTTCGAGCGGGAAGATCGTGCCTCTCACATGATCACTACGACAAAGTCACTGAGGCATTAGAAGAAAAACAGAATGCTCATGTGATATACATGGACTTCGAAAAGGCTTTCGATAAATGTCACCATGGCGTGATAGCACACAAAATGAAGTCAGTGGGAATAAACGGTAAAGAAGGACGCTGGATACTCTGTTTTCTGTCAAACAGGACTCAGCGAGTAACAGTCAACCATATAAAATCGAGTCCAAGCGCAGTTAAAAGCTCTGTACCTCAGGGTACATTCCTTGCACCACTGCTTTACCTTTTCTCATGTCAGATATAGACAAAAATACAAGTCACAGCTTCGTATCATCCTCTGCAGATGACACAAAAATCAGTATGAAAATTGCCTCGGCTGAAGACATTGAAAAACTTCAAGCTGATATTAATAAAGTTTTCGACTGGCAACAGAAAAATAACATGATGTTTAACAGTGATAAATTCCAGGTACTAAAGTACGGTAAAAATGAGGACTTTAAACATAATACAAGGTACAAAACACAATCAAATGTGCCCATAGTAGGAAAACAGCATGTAAAGGATTTGGGAATAATGATGTCTGACGACCTAACGTTTAGGGAGCATAACCAAGCAAATCTTGCGTCTGCTAGAAAAATGATCGGATGGATTACGAGAACTTTCAAATCCAGGGATCCCATCACAATGGTTGTACTCTTCAAGTCACTTGTGTTGTCCCGTCTTGAGTAATGCTCAGTACTCACTTTCCCCTACAGAGCAGGAGAGTTTGCTGAAATAGAGGAAATACAGAGAACATATACGGCACGCATAGACGCGATAAAGCACCTAAATTATTGGAATCGTCTCAAAGCCCTCCAAATGTACTCACTAGAAAGAAGACGAGAGAGATATCAAATAATATACACGTGGAAGATACTGGAGGGCCAAGTACCAAATCTACACAATAAAATAACGCAGTACTGGAGTGTACGATATGGAAGAAAATGCAGAATAGATCCAGTGAAGAGCAGGGGTGGTTCAATCAGAGAACACTGTATAAACATCAGAGGTCCACAGTTGTTCAACACCCTCCCAGCGAGCATAAGAAATATTGCCGGAACAACCGTGGATATCTTCATGAGGAAACTAGAGTGTTTCCTCCAAGGAGTGCCGGACCAACCGGGCTGTGGTGGGTATGTGGGCCTGCGGGCCGATCCAAGCAACAGCCTGGTGGACCAACTTCTCACAAGTCAAGCCTGGCCTCGGGCCGGGCTTGAGGAGTAGAAGAACACCCAGAACCCCATCAACCAGTGAACGTTGTGTAGGTGGTGGTAGTGACTGTTGTGTAGGTGGTAGTAGTGACTGCTGTGTAGGTGGTGGTAGTGACTGCTGTGTAGGTGGTAGCAGTGACTTTTGTGTAGGTGGTAGTAGTGACTGTTTTGTAGGTGGTGGTAGTGACTGTTGTGTAGGTGGTGGTAGTGACTGCTGTGTAGGTGGTAGCAGTGACTGTTGTGTAGGTGGTGGTAGTGACTGTTGTGTAGGTGGTGGTAGTGACTGCTGTGTAGGTGGTAGCAGTGACTGTTGTGTAGGTGGTGGTAGTGACTATTGTGTAGGTGGTAGCAGTGACTTGTGTAGGTTGTAATAGTGACTGTTGTGTAGGTTGTGGTAGTGACTGTTGTGTAGGTGGTAGTAGTGACTGTTGTGTAGGTGGTGGTAGTGACTGTTGTGTAGGTGGTGGTAGTGACTGTTGTGTAGGTGGTGGTAGTGACTGTTGTGTAGGTGGTAGTAGTGACTGTTGTGTAGGTGGTAGTAGTGACTGTTGTGTAGGTGGTGGTAGTGACTGTTGTGTAGGTGGTGGTAGTGACTGTTGTGTAGGTGGTGGTAGTGACTGTTGTGTAGGTGGTAGTAGTGACTGTTGTGTAGGTGGTAGTAGTGACTGTTTTGTAGGTGGTGGTAGTGACTGTTGTGTAGGTGGTGGTAGTGACTGTTGTGTAGGTGGTGGTAGTGACTGTTGTGTAGGTGGTGGTAGTGACTGTTGTGTAGGTGGTGGTAGTGACTGTTGTGTAGGTGGTGGTAGTGACTGTTGTGTAGGTGGTGGTAGTGACTGTAGTGTGTGTGAGTGCTGATTTGAAAGACGGTGACACCATAACTCTTAGGTTTAGATAGTGTGTGGTGTGGACAGCACCACGACATTCGTTGTATGGTGCTATGAGTGGACCCGGTCTTTATAATTATTTCTCTAGAAATGTGCGTCTCATTCAGTGGGTAGCCTTACCTCCGGTCCAATAACATCGAGTAGGTCTTCAAATTGTTTGGCCTTAGGAAGTCCGCATGCGGCTCGTAGATCGTTGTAAGGGGCCACGCCGTGGTCTCTGGCTCGCTGGGTGTTGAGGGCCACGAGGTCCAACCCGAAGGGCACCGATGGAGTCTGAAACACCATCAACTGCTGCTGAAACATGTTCACGTGCCGTGTTGCACAACAATATAATTCTTACTTGTACACATGTTAATGCAACCATATATTTACCTCGGCTTGCCAGAGAGTACCTGTCTCTCTTGTGGCCTTAATCTGCACAATGTTTCCCATTGTTCCTGAGGGATTTTTCTGTCATGATTTTTAACTAGAGTAATGTCTTAACATTTACGCCTCGGCGGGTAAGAGGTTCCATGGGTTTATGGGTGAAAAAGCATTTATTGTCTGTCTTACACTGTCCTGTGAACTTGTTGCTGTTACCATTTATTTAACCAGAATTGTACCATTTCCTGTAATATAATAGAAAATACGTATTTACATTTTCAAAAACTATTTATAATTTAGTTTTTTATTTAATTCTGACAACCTGACAAGTGTTGAGTCCCTAATAAGTCCTTGATGACTGAGATATCTTGTGGTGTATGTCCTTAAACACTCTGTGGGGCTCTTGTTGACTACGCCAAGCTGCTTGGACGTCTTGTGGCGCTCTTGTTGACTACGCCAAGCTGCTTGGACGTCTTGTGGCGCTCTTGTTGGCTACACCAATCTACCTGGACGTTTTGCGGGGCTCTTGTTGACTACAACTAGCTGCTTGGACGTCTTTTGACGCTCTTGTTGGCAAGGTCAAGCTGTGTGGACGTCTTGTGGGGCTCTTGTTGGCTAGATTAAGCTGCTTGGACGCCTTGAGGGGTTCTTTTTGGGAAACGAAGCTACATTGGAAGTATATTTTTATTATTCTTATATTCGAGACTGTGGTGAAAGTAATCAACATCTGAAGCATCTCATAAAGGAATGTAGCACCTCAATGATTTTTGTGTGAGGTTTACTATTTAACGTCACGTGCCATGACGTCACTGAAATTGGAGAGTTGGGAGTTTACATTACAGAATACAGCTGTAATCTGAGAATTAACCTTCCAGCTTGACTCATCTGTTTTTGGTGACTTTATCGAAGTTCCTATAATTGACATGACTCACTCCTGTGATCCATAATCCGTCCCCAAGATCTACAGAAATTTATTTTCTCCTTGATAATAAAAATCGATCTAATCTTTCCTTTCTTTCCGAACAGGATAGTTAAAGGTCTCTCGTTCAGATTATATGCAATGTAATTATAACGTCAGACTATAGTCAAAGTGGGTTAAAACACAGATACCAGGGAGCGGAGATATAGGGCATGTCAGTGGAGACCAAAAACCCGTTTACTTACCTAACAACTACTACGGTGAAGTGAGGGGCTCCTGGCCTTGTTCCAGGGAACAACTCACCTGGAAGAGCCTGTTAGTGAGTGAAGAAGTAACAAAGTTGTCGAACTGCTGGATGGGTTGTGTGGCCAGGCCCCTGAGGAGCTCGTCCATACCCCCAGGCCTGTATATGGGGCGAGGGTTGTTGAAGAACTCGTGTATAATGAGGGTATCTCCTAGCCTACCCTTCTTGCCCACCAACCTGTCGGGGAAAGACAGACGCCCACATTAAGGACAACTCCACCATAAAGGTTTCCCTTTATACGGCACTCTTACGGTAATATTCACTATACGTCAGTCGTTCTCAGCCTTATATGCCAAACAAACCCTGAACTTATTTTGTTATATGTCACGGAACCCAAGTTTCAGCGTCAAATTCTTCTGTTTCTCTCCCTCTAAATTCCTCTCTGACTCCCTCCGTCTCAACCTGTCTCTCGACAGCTCTTTCTCTACCACTCCCTATCTCTCAACCCTTTTCTTTTTGTATACCCTTCTCTACCTCTTCATTCCATCCTTATCCTCTCTCTCTCTCTCTCTCTCTCTCTCTCTCTCTCTCTCTCTCTCTCTCTCTCTCTCTCTCTCTCTCTCTCTCTCTCTCTCTCTCTCTCTCTCTCTCTTCTCTTCCTTTCCCCCCTTCTTTATCTCTACATCCTGCTTTACCTCCCAACTTATCTGTCTCAACTCCTCTAGCCCTTTCTCCTTCTGTGCCTCTCAGCCCATCTTCACCTATCAGCGCCTTTCTACCTTTCAATCACAACATTCGTCACAATATCTCCGTACCCCAGAGTCCCCCTCTTCCTCTCATCCCTCTCCATAGCCCACAATCTTTCTACACTTCACAACTCTTAATTGGGCACAGTTCTGCATCCAGCTCCCACATTCTACCCACTCTAGTGGGAACAGGTACACCTGAATGCTCTGAGGATTTACTGAAAATAATGTTAAGAATGAACTTCAAGATTTGGTATCCCAATACGAGTGGCACCACAAACAAAGTAGATGAAATAAAAGACAGTCCTTGTGGAAACATAAATCATGGAAGTTATCTCAAATGCAATATTTCCTTGGAGATAGCAGGAAATCCACGAAGAAAATCAAGATAAGGGGAAGAGTATGCACTCTTTATAAAAATAATTTTTTTTTTTACTTTTCAAAAGATATTAAAAATGTATATACAGACTGCATTGTAGGGACTAACAGCTAATGGCATTTTTATTATTTATAATGACAGTTGTAATAATCAACCCTTTAGTAAACAACAAAACACACAGACAGGAATCTGAAGACACGAACAAAGCATAAGCGATTTAAGATAAAGTCTGCTATTGGTCACTGATGCAAGATAAAGTCTGCTATTGGTCACTGATGCAAGATAAAGTCTGCTATTGGTCACTGATGCAAGAGAAAGTCTGCTATTGGTCACTGATGCAAGAGAAAGTCTGCTATTGGTCACTGATGCAAGAGAAAGTCTGCTATTGGTCACTGATGCAAGATAAAGTCTGCTATTGGTCACTGATGCAAGAGAAAGTCTGCTATTGGTCACTGATGCAAGAGAAAGTCTGCTATTGGTCACTGATGCAAGAGAAAGTCTGCTATTGGTCACTGATGCAAGAGAAAGTCTGCTATTGGTCACTGATGCAAGAGAAAGTCTGCTATTGGTCACTGATGCAAGAGAAAGTCTGCTATTGGTCACTGATGCAAGAGAAAGTCTGCTATTGGTCACTGATGCAAGAGAAAGTCTGCTATTGGTCACTGATGCAAGAGAAAGTCTGCTATTGGTCACTGATGCAAGAGAAAGTCTGCTATTGGTCACTGATGCAAGAGAAAGTCTGCTATTGGTCACTGATGCAAGAGAAAGTCTGCTATTGGTCACTGATGCAAGAGAAAGTCTGCTATTGGTCACTGATACAAGAGAAAGTCTGCTATTAGTTACTGATGCAGGAAAAAGTCTGATATTAGGTGCAAGAAGGAAATCTCCCACTGTCCAATAACATACTTAACATTTTACGCCTTATACTCTGAAAAAAATGCATAGCTCAGTTAAATTTGACTTAGAATTAATATAGACATATATTGACAACTGTCATTTAAGAAAATGACTGCTATTAGACAGGCCTGCTGATCTATCACAACTGGTTGTGGGAATAGACTTTTCCAAAGATTTTCGCCCGCTGGGAAAATGATCTTATTGGTCACTTACTGAATCATGCCCTGGACGAGGGTGTGGCCAAAACGGAAGGCAACAGTTGCAAACTCGTTCATTATGGCTGCGTTAAGGCCGCTGTCGTAGTCCCTGGAGTAGCCCTCCCGCCGCGGCAGTAGTCCATTCTCGGCCATGTAGTCCTTGCCTGCAAGGATACGTCCAAGTCATTTTAAAAGTTACTCTAATAATTTTTTTGTGATCATTTTGCGTTGGTATTTATTGGGTACTCGCACGTATGCTAGGTTTCTTCTACTATTTCTGCTTTGGCTACGAGCCAACTACCATTGATAGTCAATTACTACTGCAACTACTTATAATATTATAAGTGGTTATCAGGTGCTATTAGGCAACTACTAAGGCTTTCTCCCTCTTCCTTTTCAATCGGGTCACTGACGAGACAGTCACCGAGGCAATGAAGCTGGAGCATGGAGTCCGAGTGGGCGAGGACAGGATGTCAACACTCCCACTTGCTGATGAATTGGTGGTGACGGCAGAGGTCCCTGGAGGCACAGACACGAAGGGACAGCATCTGTGGCACATTGGCAAGCATAGGCCTCAAGGTAAATCCCGGAAAGCACCTTCACCATAGAAGTGGATGGAGCTCGAAAAACATGGTTAGCGGCACCGGCAGAACATTTCGTGTCAACCCTGTAGCTCTTGATACTATGGACCAGGAGACAAGTAGGGCCCAGGGGGACGAGTATAAGTACTTTGTGGTACCAGTCGGTGACGGAGGCAGAATCTTTTCCTATGGGTCCCGACTTAAGGACGGGTTTCATAACACCAACAGCAGGAATTTATACAAGATGATGCAACCTGTCCTCTTAAAAATAACGTCGCTTTTCGCTCGTATGCGCTCTATGGCCAAAAATGGACGTAATTTGAAATAAAATCGGCTCATAAAAGTGATGTACTGTCCCGTTTTCTGTTTGAGTCTTTTGGCTTACTCGGTAAGGTTAAAAAGGAAACTTTCAATTAACGTTTTTCATCACGTCTGGAAACTTTATGAGAATTTCCTGCCCACCTAACCTACCAGAGGACCCTTAACTTACTGTTTTGGAAAAAAATCCTAAATTTATTTTCATTTTTTTTCATTTTCAAATTACATCCATTTTCGGCCATATAGGTAAACGGCCAAATTCAGACATAATTTGTAAGAGGACAAGTTGAGAAGTCTTCGGAGTCGAAGATGACCATGACTTCAATATTAGGTTAAAGATCAGTAGCTGTGTGTCAGAAGATAGATAATGGGACAAATCTGAGCTCAGAAGCTAGCCACACATAGGACATACGTGTGGTGGTGTAAAGGTGGAGGTTGCCCTAGCTTTGCACATGGTGTGTTTCCTTTGGGCCTTCCAGACCGTCTTTTCTCTGCTGCCACAGGCCTCCGTGGTGACTTTGCTGTATCAAGTTGGACGGTCTTGAGCGAGCGACTCCCAAGTGCTGGGGGTGACGTACAGGTCATTGAGGGTCACCTTCAAGCAGTCTTGAATCAATTCTTCTGCCCCCCAACTGAACGCATGCACTAGCATAATTCTCCATACAGCACCCGTTTAGGCAACCGGCTGTCAGACATTCTGACAACAGGGCCTGCCTTTCTGGATTGAGTTTTTTGTAGGAGGGTGTAGACGCTGGGAATGCCGGCCCCTTCCAGGACGTAGGTGGGTGTCGACGCTGGGAATGCCGGCTCGGGACATCTGTGTCCGGGATTTTGTCCTGCCACCTAATGCAGAGGAGACTGCAGAGCTGCTCAAGTGAAAGAGATGGTGATGTTTGGTGTGTGTGTGTAACACCATAAAGGGTAGTATTTAATATTTCACATACAAGTAAAGTCAGTTCACACAAGATGTTGGGTGGCGCCAAGTTGTTGGTGCCATTGTCTACTAACCATTTCAAAAGCTACACCTTTTGAGACTTAATGTTCATGTGTCTAGCGAGGTGAGGTCAGGTCAACGACCTCGCCTTCCTCTAAGCTGATAATTGCAGACATTTTGCTTTGTTCTTTCATTGAACAAGCCGCTGTCTAGGTGTGGTAGGAAGATAGCCAGAGGCTATCTCTATCTATATATCTATCTATACACCGGCCTGGTGATAGCCCGTACCGGTGGGGACTCTGACTGTCAGCCGTACCACCATCCCGCCCCTCCCCCCCCCCCCCCCGCCTCCTCTCTAACTATCTTATACTCAGACTTTGGTGGCTTGAATTGTAAGGTGAAGTATGGCATTTCTCAAATTACATGTGAGATTTTTCAGGGGCAGTCTGCTGTGTTGCTCTCAATTTCTTGTGTGGTGACTAAAATTCTGAATTAACTTTGACATTTGAAAGTAGAGGGAACTATCTTTCTAAACTTTCTCTTTCACCTGACTACTTTTCGTCACTCTTCTCATTCCCGCTACTCACTTCTCCCTTCCACCTCACTCGCTCCTCACTCTGTGCATTTCATCTTTCTTTCTCTATTCCGATACGTTACATGTCTGCTGTAGACAGTCCAGGGCCAGTAGAGAAGGGTGGTGAGTACCAATGCACGGTAGACCTTCAGTTTGGTGGTAAGGCTGAGGGCTCCTCCCCCCACTCCCAGACATTCTCGCGGAATCTTCCAAAGGCAGCGCTGGCCTTGGTGATCCTGTTGTTGACTTCTGCGTCTATGTTCACCGCTCTTTAGAAGTTCAGAGTATGGTGCCAAGATAGGTGACGTTGTCAACTGCCTGCAGGTTCTGCCTTTTGACATGTGCGGTTCCTGGTAGGGTATTCAGGCCTCGGGTTGGTACATGACTACGGTCTTTTGGGTGCTAATGATTAAACCAAAGTTGTCGCAGGCTTGTGAGAAGCAGTCCATATCGTGCTGCATCATTTGCACTGTGCTGGCATTGTGCACTGGTGTTGAGGGCGCTGTCTTCAGCGAACAGGAAGTCTCTTATGACAGGTTCCTTCACCTTTATAACAGCCTACATGCACTGAGTTTGAACAGTCCACTTCGAGGATGATAAGCTTTACTGACTTTGGGACTGCTACAAGGTTGTCGAGTTTTTTATTAAATTTTCCTTGATGTCTTCTGGGTTGGTCTTGGTTGGGGCGTATGCACTTATCAACGTTGCACTCCTTTTGCTTCCAAGCATGACCTGGAGCATGATTGATGCCCTCTGAGAGCTTGGTAAGTTTTTGGGCGAGGTGGGCTCTAATGGCAAATCCTATGCCAACTTCTTGCTGTTCGGCGCTACTGCGACCATTCCAGAAAAAGGTGTACCCACCACCACGCTCTGTAAGCTGACCTTTGTCTGCCAAGAGTGTCTCACTGAGTGTTCCTATGTCCACACATTTTATCGCTCTAGTTCTTTTGCGACCAATGCAAGTTTGCTTTTCAGGTCTATGTGTCTTGATGTTATCCAGCAGAGTTCGAAGGTTCAGGGGCCGAGATGGAGCACCCTCATTATTTTTCTTTGTATTTGTTCAACAACTCTCACCTTGGCTAGCAACCATGCTGGTTGCTAGCCAGGGTGAACTGGAGCAGGCTATGTTTAAAGCACCTTTTTTACCACTTTCCCCCGTGAAGATGAGCAGAGTGTGTCCTAAAGAGGGCTGCTCAGACACCCAGAGGGGCTGCCGAATTCTGCTGCAGCTTCAGTCCAATTCCTGTGCTGCCTGTGTGCAGGTCTGTGACTACAACTTCCAGTGTATCCTCACCTGCTGCTTCTCCACTCGCCCATCGCCACAGGACTTGAGGTTGCGCGATATGGGTTGAAGTCATGACTTGCGTTTGACTTGGATTAAAGTGAGGAAGAGTTGCGCAAATCGTCAGCCTCACTCTCTCGTCCTGTCCTATCTGGGTCCAGCAGCAAGACAACTAGTGCATGAAATAGATTAGGATGCAGTGAATGGCCAGTAGTGTCCTAAGTGTCTCACTGCTCCCTAGTTGCGCTCCACAACGCTTTGCTGTGCCCACTTTCATGCCTATTGAACCACTTTGGTGGTTTCCTCTTCCTCTGGGTCCAGTCTGCACATGTATTGGTACACAAGCCCTCACTCACCGAGAGTCACAAACCGTCGACTACCCTCACCTAGTTTTGTCCGCCAGTCGAAGCAGTTAACCGAGGTGTGGCCGCATGCAGACAGCTACAGGAGCCACAGATGAAAGTTGAGTGCAGGTGGGGACCGAAGCAGGCCAACCATCCGGAGGATCGACTGTTTTCCATCAGAGTACTACACCTTCCCGACACCCCTTACACCCATATTTATACCAAAACGCTGTCAGATCCTGAAACTAGTCCACCACCTAGTACTTGGCCACATGTTCAAGCCAGAGTAAGGGAGGCTCGATCGACAGATGCAGCAAGTCGATCAGTGCTGGTTGTACCTGCTGCATGATACTCCTTCGGCGTCCCTTACCTCACCTCAGTCATCTGATTCAAATATATAAAGTGGCTTGGATCGATGCTGCTGTCGGCGGACCTGCAGTTGAAATGCCGACTGGCCAATCCACAGTCCTGGAGATGCTGCGGCGATTGGTCTGGTCCCGCGGTTATTGCTGGAACCTCGATCACCACAGCTACGGAACTCTAATACTTGGAGAGCAAACCTATACCAGTTGGTGCTGGGGGAAGAGAACTATCAGGGAAAAGCGCCAAATCATTACGACTATATAGCACTAGGAAGGAACAGGATAAGGATTTGGGAACAGATGGGGGAAGGAATGACACCCAACCACTTGGACGGTTGGGAATTGAACGTTGACCTGTATGGAGCGAGACCGCCCTTCTACCGTCCAGTCCAAGTGAGGAATGGACGGTGCAGGCAGGAGTCTACTTGTAAAGTACAGTCAAGCCATTTGTAGGTCACCTCCTGCACCCGTCAAATGAGCGGTGGACACAATGCTATGGCAGTTCAGGTGACAGCAAATGCTCAAATCTAGAGTAGCCAAGGGTAGGTCAGATACAAGTGTCCTCTCGAAAACTGCTGACGGCCTGACACTCTGGGAGACGTCCCCAGATGTAACCGAAGCAAAGTCTTCCTCTTGGTTTACTATGTTGTGTGAACTGTCAGCGCTTATAACCTTGTAACACTAAGATTTGAATGCGTGTTATCCTTGGAAACAATATATTGTTTTCATCTATAACAATTACAACCTAGCTACAGTTTCTGTTATTGGTCAGCTTCAACTGTTTCTACTAATAATCTACAATAACTACAAAATAGGTACTGTTTGCACAAATAGCAGCGGACCAAGATAAAAGCAACTCGTGGTTACCAATGACAAGAGGGAGCCACTCGTTGTAGACGATGTGTTGATACATGGCCACTACCACTCTCCTGGTCTCCTGGTAGTTGATCTCGTCTGACCAGTGTGGGTTGAGACGGGCCAGTTCCCGGGCGACGCGGTTGTGGAACCTCACCCACACTGTGTGGATGACGGCCAGGTTCAATTGCTCGTTCAGGCGGCTGTCTCCTGTCGGGGTGAAAACAGGCAAGATAATTATCAGGGGAAAGCGTCTAGGTAGTTTGACTATAGAGCACTCTGAAGTTAGTTGATGCTGGAGAGAATGAACACTAACAAACCACTTCGACAATCGGAGATCGAACACCGACCTTGCAAAAAGCGAGGTCCTTCTCATGGGAAATATGGTTTTACCACATTTTGTTAGAAATTAAATGACTGACAGCATTCTCACGGCAATGAATCTAGGTAAGTGAGCGTTAGTTTAGGTGTCATCTTCGATGGAGATTGACACCCTCCAGCTGGTTAATATCCTTCCTCCTATTTGGTGACCAAAATTTTACAATTGCAATTTTCTAAAATGCAATATGCCAAAGGATCACCCAGCCCTTATTACTTGATTTAAAAATGGATTATTACATTTACAAAGACTTTGAAAATGTAATAAGCCATTACGAAACGCGTTCAGGCTTCAGACCATAGATAAAAATGAATTTTGGAGAATTGATATTTCCATTACCACCGACAGTGAAGAAAAACATAAGAAATATTGAGAAAATTCGTGTTAGAATTATTAATCTTACCTTTCGGTCATATTCAACAACATATATATTTTTAAAAGGAAGAGTTTTATATAAACTCTTCCTTTTAAAAATACCCCATTTTTCCTTGCACCTGAGAGTGTGCAAGAAATGTCTTATCCCCATTCCCTATCTCATACCCATTCCAGGTATCTCTTATCCCTGATTCTCATTGTTTAAATTCATTTGATTTACAATAACATATTGTGATAAATACAGATGTTGCAGTCATTAGAAAAGAAATATAGAAGTAAGCGATAAATATTTCTGCGAATGTTAGGTCATAATATCAACATCAGGATTTAATAGACGGGTAGGCAGCAGGAGGTAATTAGAGTTACAGAGGCATAGGACAACCTAATACCTCTGCATGAAGAATGTTTTACAGTACAACTGGATGACCATTAAGCACCGTAAGGGTGGAAAGACATACTTACCAGCCTTGAAGCAAGGAAGTCCTTCCCTGAGGGACTCGCACTCCATAGCATCATTGTCAGGTGGAAGGAGGTTTCTCTCCTGCACCCGCAGGAGGCCGCCTCGGAACGCTCGCAGTTCTTGTTCCTCTTCGTCACTCGACCCATAGATGTTCGACCCATCCAAGTAGTGTGTGATCTGGTTCATCTGCCAGACAGAGAAGCACTCGAATTGTTAATAACGAGGCTGTGTAAATATTGAGTGGTGGGAATAGTGCTGGATTTGGCCATAAGCTTAAATAAACAACAGCTTAATTAGGGCCTCGAAATCCATACGAATCTCCCCCTATATATATGTATATGTCGTACCTAGTAGCCAGAACGCACTTCTCAGCCTACTATGCAAGGCCCGATTTGCCTAATAAGCCAAGTTTTCATGAATTAATTGTTTTTCGACTACCTAACCTAACCTAACTTTTTCGGCTACCTAACCTAACCTAACCTATAAAGATAGGTTAGGTTAGGTTAGGTAGGGTTGGTTAGGTTCGGTCATATATCTACGTTAATTTTAACTCCAATAAAAAAGAATTGACCTCATACATAATGAAATGAGTAGCTTTATCATTACAAATGAAAAAAATTAGAGAAAATATATTAATTCAGGAAAACTTGGCTTATTAGGCAAATCGGGCCTTGCATAGTAGGCTGAGAAGTGCGTTCTGGCTACTAGGTACGACATATATATATATATATATATATATATATATATATATATATATATATATATATATATATATATATATATATATATATATATATATATATATATGGCTTTTCAGGCTTTGCTCTGAAAGCCATGGACGTCGATCTTGCTATATGGGAGACACTGGCTGCAGACCGTTCAGCCTGGAGGCAGTCTGTTCAAAGAGGTCTCTCCAAGTTCGAGGAGTCACTTGCCAAGGAATCGGAGGCAAAGAGACAGAGAAGGAAGGCTGGTAGCCGGGAAGACAGACCAGAATCGGACTTCGTTTGTGCTCGCTGTGGGATGGACTGCCACTCTCGGATTGGCCTCATCAGACACACCAGACGCTGCACCAGGATTGACAACCAGGGCACAACTCCATAGTCTCCCGAGACTGAAGGATGCCTACTACTATATATATTGCTTATAAAATTTGATGTGGCTTTGTGTGTGTAGTGTAGTTTTTAAAATAGCTTGTGTAACAGACTTTATTGTGTAGTATTATAATGGCTTTAAATGTAATTCATGTAATTCTAAATGTAATTCTATTGTTATGTTTTAACAATAGGGTTCCGTCCTTTATATGTGTTAGGGCCTTGCCAAGTCTAAATCCGACAAAGATGAAGTTATTTGTAAGTGTATATTGCAATCATCCACCTGCCTAGAGTCCAACATCTCCCGCTTGCCTCTACACTGTGTATTCGTTCATTCATTAAAATGCCTTGTATGAGTCTTATAGAGTGAACACGAAATGTTCACTATAGGACCGGTAGACACATGTGACGTATACATACAAAGGTTTGTATGTAACATTAAGAACCGGCTTGATAATGGTCCAGGATGGACCGAAACGCTGTCCTCTCTCCGTTTTCTGATGCCGGGTTTGGTTATCATATCCTCAGCCACGTTATTGTGACTCAACGTCTGAATTAAATATGTCTTCACAATTTTTTTTAATTGTATAAGTAAATGGGATATGGCTGAAAATAATACTGTAATAACAATTGTACATGACAACAAATTTAATTCAAAATACTGTAAAATTGATATACAATGTTTATAAAATATAACTTGCAGACAGACAATGGAAGATTTCGGGAATGGAGTTTATTAACTGGCCCAATAATGCATGTAATTCAGCCCGTCATCATAAGGTTTCCAAACCTCAAGAAAAAATATGTTTATTTGTGATGTGTGTCTATGTATATATTAACACGTTGTACTGAATGGGGTGAGAATAGCTTGAGCTACCTCATCCCTTTGTGTGTATTTTACCTCAATAAACTTATTTCAATTTCAATTTCAATTTCAAACCTCAAGAAAATGGCCAAATTAAAGGGTCCTCTTCCAGCCTACCAGAGGACCCAATACAGAAAACGGAACAGTTCGTTACTTTCGCGAGCCGCTTCCATTTTCTAGTACGATAATTTTTGGCGTTATGTAATGCATACGATCGAAATGCGACGTTCTTTGTAAGAGGATAAGTTGATCTGCCAATAATTACCGAATATTCTCTGTTATGTTCAATATTCTAAGCAAAAATATGCAGTAAAAAATAGTTCAGAAATCACATTGGAAAAAATTGCATATTCGAGCACTATAAAGGTTAATGTTCTCTAAATGTGTGTGCAGAATTCTGTTTCATCCCATACAATAGTATTTAAGTGGCAACAATGATAGTGTAGATGGCGTTTCGAGTAAACAGACGAGCTCCACAAAGAGTGAGGGAGCATACTGTCATCGGCTCCATGGCCCGTTGAGTGGACTGCCTTCGCTCGTGGTGCCCGCCACCAAATACTATGATTCATCGAATAAAGTTACGGTTTCGAGGAACCCATACCATCACCAGGTCTGAGATCCTGGACATACTGACTGGAACTATCGAAGTAGCACTTGTCTACGTCGTTGATGACGTGCTGGGCCCCAAATCCTGTTGATCAATGCGGAGGCTCTGAAGGAGTTGTTCACCCCTACCACACTGGCTGTGTTAGAAGCAGCAAACATGATACTTACTCTGCCACTGCAGTGCCTGGCTGCAAGAACAGTGTTCGTCTGTCGAGTTTGCGCAATCATCTCCGGCAAGCTTGTTCCTGATGGCTTTGCCAGCATCAACCAACAGAACCCGATACTGACAGCAGTCACAGTGAAGTTCATGTGGCTGAATGACAATCAAAGTTCCACCATCAAGATCACCTTCAAATCTCTGGAGAAGGTTATCAATGCGGCTGCAAACAGCTTCAGGTGCCTTGGAGTCGCCTGTACACCACATCAAATCACTAAGAAACGATACTTTGCCCTACGCCAGTGCTACAAGTACTACCAATATACCCACTTAACCAAGACGTGCACTCTTCAAGTCGCAAAATGCAGTATCTGTACTGGAGACCACCCCTTCGTGGACTGCCAGGCAGACTACCAACACTGTTTACTGTGTGATGGAGACCACACTGCATCTGAGTGCACCACACTTCAAGCTGAAATTCAGAAGATGTTTGAGGCCAGAAAAGCCTCAGCTACTCGTCGCCCAACATCATCCTTCAATATTCCAGCCCAAGCATTCCCAGAGCTCGCGTCCAGCAGAGCAACCGCATAGCAGTCCAGTCAATGGGAGAGTTGCTCCCACCAAAGCAGCCAATCGCCGACCCAGCCTTCGCCACCTCCACAGACCAGAAACCAATACCAGCGCAGTTCCTGCCCTACTTCATCTAGCTGACAGGATGGATGAATCAAACAACAGACTGCATAGCTGCACTTAACATACTTGTTGCTGCAAATGGTTTCACAACCCTCATTGTTTCTGATTACCTGCTTACTGCACATCCAACGGCGGGTACTCCTGCATCCCATGTTCCTGCATCAAACATCAATGTCCTAGAAGATGCACCCGCTGACTGCTTCTCCAACCACCCAGCCCACTGCTTACGATCGTGCAAGTGATCCTGCAGCCTCTGCTTCTGCAACTGTTCCTGCATCTGATCCTGCTACCATAGTTTCTACTTGTAAGGCTCCAGCACCTGCGCCTCCAACCACTGATCAAATAGCACCTGCAACACCTGACTCAGAAGACTAAGACCAGACACAGGATAAGACACCCCAAGGGGCGAGCGTGAAAGTGGGGAAAGAAGAAGAAGAAAGGGGGGGGGGAGAGGAAGTAGCTTTAGGAGGAGAAAAAGTGCCAGGGTTAAACCCAGCTGCGTGTCGTTATGTGGCGGCACTTGAGGCAAGTACTCAGTCGGGTGTTTCAGTGGCATCAACAGGGACATCACAAAACTCACATCATCGCAATGATTGACTCAAAAGCGTCATGGCTAAACTTTTATTGATAGTATGTGCTGAGTGTTAAGAGCTGGATATTTTTATGTAGATGCTGGGTGTTGAGAACTAGAGATTAACGAAATACAGAGTTTGGAGGACGAGGATCATGGATAGTGGAGAAGAGATCATGTGTGTTTCATAGGTGTCTAAGAGTGTGTAAGAGAAAATCAGTGTGTTGTTCGTGATAAAGAGAGGAGTCTGTCAATCTGTTTGTCTAGTAAAGATTGCCAATGGACATTGAGAGCAGAAATGCTAGTACCGTCATGGAGGCGGTCGATAGTATTGAAATCTTCCCATCAAATGTTGAGTATCCATCTATGTGCTCTATTTTGAATTTTCTGGAGTTTTAATTTATTAGTGGGTGCGGTTAAGGAAAGAGCAAGAAGAGCATATGTTAGGAGAGGTCTAATAAGTGTTTTATGGAGGTGCAGTTTTGTTTCAGGTTTGTTAAATCTAAGCCTGTATAATTTTGTCATGGGCTGGGGAGCTATTACATGTTTCTGTGCAATGTGTGTATGAAAGAGTAATTATCGATCAAATATAAGGACAAAAACTGTGGTGGAAAGAGATACAGAAATGTTAGTAGGATTAGGAGAGAACGTGAATAAAGTTGAACATGAACAGGGCGAGCAGCTCGTTTACAGAAAAAGTAGGTGATTTTAGATTTGTTGGAGTTGGTTTTAATGTGCCAGTCATACTCCCCTTCTGTTATAACATCGAGTTCCTCTTGTTTTTTCCATGATAATGTGTCTATGGAGTAGCTGGTGACAAGGTGAGAGAGACATCATCAGCATAGCAGAAAGTTAATGAAGTGCAATGAATAGGGTCAGGAATGTCGTTGATGTATAGGATGTAAAGTGTCTAGGCAAGAACAGAGCCTCCGGGAACACCGGCATGTAAGTTGAAGTAGTCTGAGTGTTGACGGAGGAAATTAATACTCATTGTCCTACTGTCTAAGTTGTTAGAAAGTAGTTTAGTGGTGATGAGAGGAAGATTAAAGTTATTGTATTTTGAATTTGAGGCCGTCATGCCAAACAGTGTCATAGGCCTTCTCAACGTCTTTAGTGATAAGTGCAGTCTTAGTCTTTGTTGATGGTTGATATTTATGTAATTTGTCATATACAAGGCGTCATGTGTGGACCGGTAAGGCCGGAAGTCACATTGTTTATTAGTGAGTAAGTCACTGTCTTCTAGGTGCCTTCTAAGTCTCATGTTGACTAGCCTTTCAAAGACTTTGCAAAGTGTCTCTAGAAGACTGATGACGTCTATAATTTTTGGGTCTGTGTGAGGTTTTCCAGGCTTTGGAATGAGAACATCAGTGGCAGATTTGAAGGGGAGAGGAAAATAACCAGAGGTAAGAGAGGCGTTGAATAAGTTAGTGATAGCAGCAATGATGGAGTTGGGGGGTAGTCGAAGGAGGGTATGTCTAATGCCAGACGCACCAGGGGCTCTACGGCGAGTGCCCATGAGAGCTGTCTTGACATCAGCTAAAGTCAGGGGAGTCTGTACGTCAGTGCGTGAGTTAAGGTTATTAAAGTGGATGAGGTCATCAGGACCTCGATAAAAGCCAAACGTATATGATTACACTCTGGCTTTCTGTTCCCGACACAATGAACTAATTACATTGTGTGAGAATCGGGAGTGATAACAAGCTAAGAGACGTTTAGTGCGAATAGAAGGAGTGAAATTGAAATGTGGTTTGTGCGTTGTTTGGGGAATGGAGATGTTTGCTGCATGAATGATGGCGTCTTGTATGTGGCGTGCTGGTGTGATGTTTGTCACTGAATTCATAAGTGAGATCAATGTGTTGTTGGAACATGTCCCAATTTGCCAAATGGTATGAGAAATGAGTAGTGCAGGGGATGAGAATAGGAGTGTTGGAAATTGTGAGAAATAAAGGAATGTGATCAGAGCCCGTAATGGGACCTGGTGAAACATAGTGTTGGAGGTTGTTGCCGAGTCTGTTGGTGAATATGAGATCAGGTCTGCCAGAACCTGCATGTATGAGAGAAGTGGAGAAGTCGGGGCCAAGGAAGGACAAGTTAGGCAAGTGAGAAAAACAGGCAAGTGAGTGTGGCTGAAGAGAGTGATGTTTTGCATGGGAATGCCAGTGTTAGGGTTGATGTAGGTGGTGCAGATGATGAGAGGGCCCATGTGAGTGTGGACGTTGATGGCAAGGAAATGTTTGTGAAGCCAGAGAGTGTGTGTGTAAGAGTTCGTGTTTATATTAAGATCGTATGAGTATTGCAACTCCTTCGTGTGCTTCATCAGGTGACTGGTAAGAGGGGTAGCCAAAATATTTGATTTTATGTGAGTTTGTAATATATGTGCTATTTATTAATAACACATAGGTCTCAATAAAATCTGCCTCAATTAAATCTGACACTATGTGTCTAATAGAGAAGGGGGCCGAGAGGGAAGTAACAGACGTTGTAGTATTTGTAGTAAGATTGGCAGTGGAGGTGACGATGTTGGAAGAGAAAGCAGTAGGTAGTACTTGGGGCTTGGGTAGGCTACTTTGGGATAGTTCAGGGTCTTCAGTATGGTCAGTGGTTCCGTTTTCTGTATCAGTCGGGATTGGGCTGGTTGGAGGTTCTGGGGAAACTACAGTATTCTCAGCAGCTGAAGTCATGATATTTTTGAGATTTGAGATATATACAAGAGTTGTTACATTCTTGTACAGCCACTAGTACGCGTAGCGTTTCGGGCAAGTCCTTAATCCTATGGTCCCTGGAATACGATCCCCTGCCGCGAAGAATCGTTTTTTCATCCAAGTACACATTTTACTGTTGCGTTAAACAGAGGCTACAGTTAAGGAATTGCGCCCAGTAAATCCTCCCCGGCCAGGATACGAACCCATGACATAGCGCTCGCGGAACGCCAAGCGAGTGTCTTACCACTACACCACGGAGACTGCCAATTTTGTGGAGTGTGGACTGTAGGTGAGAATGGAGCAGAGAGCTAGAGAGTAGGAGGAGGGATGGATATTAGGAAGACTACTGTGAGTGAGAAAACAGGGAAGATAGTCAGCAAAGTCCCGCCCATCATCATTAGATATCAGGTATGCAGCCTGCATATAGGCGGTGACTCGTTAATATAAGAGGTTCTGAAGAGGAGCAATATTGAGCTTCTGCAGGGAAGGAGCATTGGTCGTCTGCAGGGGAGGAATATTGGGCTTCTGCAGGGAAGGAGCATTGGGCTTCTGCAGGGGAGGAATATTGGGCTTCTGCAGGGGAGGAATATTGGGCTTCTGCAGGGAAGGAGCATTGGGCTTCTGCAGGGGAGGAATATTGGGCTTCTGCAGGGAAGGAGCATTGGTCGTCTGCAGGGGAGGAATATTGGGCTTCTGCAGGGAAGGAGCATTGGGCTTCTGCAGGGGAGGAATATTGGGCTTCTGTAGGGGAGGAATATTGGGCTTCTGCAGGGGAAGGAGCATTGGGCTTCTGCAGGGGAGGAATATTGGGCTTCTGCAGGGAAGGAGCATTGGGCTTCTGCAGGGGAGGAATATTGGGCTTCTGCAGGGAAGGAGCATTGGGCTTCTGCAGGGGAGGAATATTGGGCTTCTGCAGGGGAGGAACATTGGGCTTCTGCAGGGGAGGAACATTGTGCTTCTGCAGGGGAGGAACATTGTGCTTCTGCAGGGGAGGAACATTGTGCTTCTGCAGGGGAGGAACATTGTGCTTCTGCAGGGGAGGAACATTGTGCTTCTGCAGGGAAGGAACATTGTGCTTCTGCAGGGGAGGAATATTGTGCTTCTGCAGGGGAGGAATATTGGGCTTCTGCATGGGAGGAATATTGGGCTTCTGCAGGGGAGGAATATTGGGCTTCTGCAGGGGAGGAATATTGGGCTTCTGCAGAGAAGGAGCATTGGGCTTCTGCAGGGGAGGAATATTGGGCTTCTGCAGGGGAGGAATATTGGGCTTCTGCAGGGGAGGAATATTGGGCTTCTGCAGGGGAGGAATATTGGGCTTCTGCAGGGGAGGAATATTGGGCTTCTGCAGGGGAGGAGCATTGAATCTTGAGGTGTTTGGTATTAGGCACTGGGTATACCTCCATAGCAGTAATATCATTACACACAAAAATCACAATAACGTGATATATCAAATGTTCATGTGATATATCACGTTATTGTGATTTTCTGTGTGTATTGAAGTAGGGGCGTGAGAGGTAGAACTATTTGGTTGACAGAGCCCGAGTGCATGGGGGGAATTGTGTGACACCCCGGTAAGGCTTCAATAGAAGCCTCGGGAGCCTCATGAGGAAAGTACCACTCCCGGTTGCAATTATTTCGACCATGTCGTGGTACAGTTGACTAAGGCGCATCTGGGAACGCTCAGCGCATAGGTTCGAACCCTCATCGAGGCTCTTGTTGATTTGTTCAAGTAATATCATTCCTGTCTGAAATTTCTTGGGAGAGATTGTTGTTTTCCGGTACAGAAAGAACAGAGCTTTCAACATTACGTACAAAAACAGAGCATTTAGTTTTTTTGCGCAATAGGGAGCACATGAGTCAGAAAAGCTTGGGTAAGTTTACTACAAGCTGGTTCCTTAAAGCAGACAAAAAGGTGGTCTCCAGAGGCAAGGAAGAATTTGATGCTGTTGACATGTTTGATATGAGACGTGACAGGAGTTCCAGTGGCATTGAAGAAAGTAGTGATGCAGTCAATAGTGTCAATGGCTGCAGTGTTAGTGTAATTCATCTACAGACAGATGTAATTCATCTAAGCCATTGTGACTCACTTCCTACAGACAGTCCCGTGTTTTGTAGACAATCACTACGTAAATCCATAAAACTCACTGGGGGTGAGTGTGTAGGTCAGGTCTAGGACCTGACCTACACACTCCAAAAGATGTCAGGAACGTTGGTGTAGCCATGCGTAGCGCTCAAGCAGCGGGTTGCCTAACTCACACTTGGAGCGAGACGAATCCTTCCTCTTGCAACGTTGCCGAGGAAAGATGTGACTCAGAAAAAATCACCCATCGTCTAATGAGGACTCTGTGGACGTTGTCAACGACACCGCACCCACATCTCCAAGCGAAGAACATCTTCAAAAGTTATACATGACTGTGAATTCCTTACCATGACACTAAGGGAACTACAGAAAGAAGTGTACAAAGGAACAATGGGATCTCCAGAGAATCGACGCATGCCCTACGCCGTTAGTTTCCTGGCAGGACAAGTAGTACGAGTTGCTGTTCTTTCAAATGATATTCGGGCAACCTGCCTTATCACCCTTCTTCCCCCAGACCTGATAGACCAGCGCTACTATATACCTTCATTACCAGTGGTAAAGAAGACGCCAGTGATACCATTCAGACACGAAGTCAAATAAAGAAGAAAGAAGTCGTAGACGACGAATCAAGACTGAAAAATAAAGAAGAAAGACGACACCGCATGCGGAGAATCTCTACCAGGAATAAAGTATAACACTGCACCACCGCGTCTCCCTACAGAACCATGCCTCGTCGCCCAGCAAGTCATGTCGATTTCGCTCATCACAAGTCTTCCATTCTGCAGCTTGGCCAAGCTGCGGCACTTTTTCTACGACTTCGAAGCTTCCTCTCAAAGACTTTAGCTATACCCATTTCCCGCTTGCCCCATGGGTATCTTATCCTGTATATTGTTAGTGGAGTAAATGTTAGTGATAAAGTAACTCCAGAGACTCCGCCTGGCTCACCTGTTCAGCGAATCCTAAAGTGCAGGGGTTGGCTCTGGGGGCGAGCACAGACCTGACGAAGTTCATGCAGCGGCGACCACTCGCGCCGAAGAATGGGTCATTGGCGGGGATATCAATGGGGAGGCAAGATGGGTGGAGTAATGTTGGTTCCACAAAGCTACGGCCCTGGTTGCTGCAGCACTCCACCCCGCTCATGTTACCTGGCCAACCCAGACACGTCTTTGTTATCATCGGGAACAACTTAGTATATAATAACACATAAAGAACACGAGAAGATGGATTACATCACCATGGATTATGCAAAGAGGTAAAGGAAGGGTTCATCCAGGAAAAAAAGGAAGCAAAAGAGACAAAATTAACACTGGACAATAAAAGAAGAATAAGGGTACTAAGCGGAACAACTAGAAATAAAAAGAACAGATGAGAAAACAAGCCGTTCAAAATTATATATAAGTGGAGACCCGAAACACTAACTCAGAATACTGAATACAATTATTTACTGTGTGAAGACCTCCACAATAAATATTAACAGAACTTGACACTGATGCTACACGGTATGAGACAAGCGAGAGTTGTATTACAGAAAAGGCCTCATTATTCTCATATAAGAACATAATAATCACGGTAACTGCAGAAGGCCTTTTGGCCCATAAAAGGCAGTTCATATTTATATCCACCCAAACTTATTCATTTGGGTGGGAGTAGCCATATTTGTCAGGGAAAATCTGAAATGTAGTCTCAAAGAGGGAATCAAAACTGAGCCACACACATAAACTATTTGGTTACAGTTAAACGAAAAAGCTAAAAAAAACTTATAATAGGAGTTATATAAAGGCCCACAAACATAGACAGAATGGAAGCAACGCATCTATGGGATGAAATAGCTAGAGCATCTCGGTCAAACAGGATTTGCGTCATGGGGTGACTTTAATTTAAGTGGAATAAACTGGCCTAACAGAACAAGGAATAACGAAGCAGAAGATTTTCTAGAATTAATAGACGATTGCTTCCTTTAGCAACACATTAAGGAATCAACGAGTGAAATTAATATTTTAGACTTAACTAACAGGGAGTTAACGAATAGGGAGTTAACTAACAGTGAGACACAAATTAATGACATCGAAATAATGAGTGAGCTAGGGAACAGTGATCATAAAGAAATCAGATTTAGCATTGATTAGAATAAATTTGTTGGCGAAAATTCTGTTAAAGTGCCAGATTTCAGAAAAGCAGATTTTAATGGCCTATGCAATTTTTTGAGTGAAATCTTTTTAACTAGTCTTTCATGTGGTATTATATAAAAAAAAAAATAAATGTACCTGGATTCAAGGTACACAACGTACGTAAGGTACAAACCTTACCACTATCAACTGCTTCAACTATGCTGGAATAAAATGATAGCAAATTTGTTAAACATAAACGAATATTTGCAAAACCATGTAGTGACTCATTTATTACTTTATGTTTTTCAAGGTGAAGATGAATGGTATTTGCAGTTATCGATTCAAGTAACTTTCCCACAATAGACGTTAAGCTAATTGGCCGATAGTTGACGCAAGTGATCTATCTCCTTTCTTAAAAATTGGTACCACATTAGCTACCTTCCATGACTCTGGCACTCTGCCTGACTCTATTGATTTATTAAATATGGTAGACAGTGGCTCGGAAAGCTCCTCTTTGCATTCTTTAAGCACCCTGGCAAACACTTCATCCGGCCCTGGGGATTTGTTTGGTTTATGTTTTACTATTTGTTTAATTACATCCTCCCTGGTAACTGCTAAACTAATCAACCTGTCCTCCTCCCCACCCACATAGACTTGTTCAGCTGAAGGCATATTGTTAAGTTCCTCTTTAGTAAATACAGATATAAAATATTTATTAAAAATACTACTCATCTCTTTGTCATTATCCGTTATCTGACCTGTCTCAGTTTTTAATGGACCTATCCTTTCCCTAATCTTTGTTCGATATAACTGAAAAAACTTTAGGATTTGTCTTTGCTTGCCCTGCTATGCGAACTTCATAGTTTCTTTTTGCCCTCCTTATTTCTTTTTTAAAATTTCTAACCAGTTGTACGAATTCCTGTTCTAAACTGACTTCCCCATTTAATCCTTTTGTACCAGGCTCTCTTTCTAACTATAAGGTGATTTCTGTGTGTAACTATAAGGTTCATCAGATCCATTGTTATCAATTTCAGATCATTAGTATTCGATCTATTCAATTTGTATGTTATACTACGTTCCTGTACTTTGCTTAGAATATTTTTAAATAAGTTATATTTTGAATCAACATCGAAATCCCTTTTTACATCACCTATCGCTGGGTTCACGTCTCGATACAAGACCGGCCCATCCCACCCCCCCCCTCCCCCCTTATGCCCAGGACTATCTAATCCATTTCACCCAAAAAATTGCATAGGCCATTAAAATTAGCTTTCCGGGAAATCTGGCACTACCAGATTTTTCGCATACAAATCTATTCTATTTAATGCTAAATCTGATTTCTTTATAGTCACTGTTCCCTAGCTCACTCCCTATTTCGATGTCATTAATTTGTGTTTCCCTGTTAGTTAACACTAAATCTAAAATAAATATTTTCCCGCGTTGGTTCCTTAATGTGTTGGCTAAGAAAGAAATAGTCAATTAATTCTAGAAAATCTTCTGCTTCATTATTCCCTGTTCTGTTAAACCAATTTACTTCACTAAAATTAAAGTCACCCATGACACAAATACTGCTAGACTTAGATGCTCTAGATATTTCATCCCATAGGTGCTTTGCTTCCATCCTGCCTAGGTTTGGTGGCCTGTATGTAGCTCCTATTATAAGATTATTTGCTTTTTCGTTTAATTCTATCCAAATAGATTCTGTGTGTTGCTCAGTTTTGATTCCCTCTTTGAGACTACAATTAAAATTTTCCCTAACATATATGGCTACTCCCCCTCCTCGTCTAACATATCTATCCGCGTGAAATAGTTTAAATCCATTTATTTGAGATTCAGCTAATAGTTCTCTATTTTCTACATTCGTCCACGTTACAGTAAGTGCTATAATATATATTTTTTTCTGTGCAGACAAGAGCATTTAAATCGTTTATTTTGTTTTTTAAGACTTCTACTGTTAGTGTAATATAACCTAAGTGTATTGTTATTTTGCGGCCCTTCTCTTTCCCTGATCATTTTGTCAATTTGTTTCCCCCACAAACACATACTTTTATTACTTCATTTCTCCATATCAGTTCCCATACCACTATCTACTAATAGTTTAACCCAAACCCAAACAAACGCCTCCAATCACTAGTTTCAACGAGTTCGCAACAACACCAACCCCAGCCCTCGATAGATGCACCCCATCACGAGCATATATTTCATTTCTTCCATAGAAAGAAATACCCGAAACGCTTTGCGTAATAGTGGCTTTAGGCATTGTATGTACTAGCTCTATCTATAAATCCATTAACTTTTGTATCTTACCTTGTATGTATGTACCTTACCTGAATAAAAATTTATTTATTTATTTATTTATACAAGTGTTCCCAGTTATCTATGAAAGGTATTGCATTTGATTTGCAATATCTTTCCAGCCGGCAATTGACACCAAGCGCCCTCGACATCCATTCATTTCCAACTCCCTTTCTTGGAAGAATGCCACATATGATCGGGATTCCTTCCTTGCTCCTAAATAATTCTATGGCTGTCTTAGACCTCTATATCAGTTCCTCACCTCACCTTGAAGTAATAGTGAATCTTTTTCCATGTTCATTTCCCTCCCGATTTTTGTATCATCGGCAAATTTGGAAATATTGCTGCTCAAACATGAATCTAAATCATTTATATATATGTGAACAAGCCTGAATGGTCCCCAGGACTATATACGAATGAAATATATATATATATATATTATGAATAACATAGGTCCCAGGACAGAGCCTTGAGGCACTCCACTTACAACATTTTCCCCGTCTGACTTAACCCCATTTATATTAACTCTTTGTTTCCTTTGGTATAGAAATGCCCTAAAATTCTGGGTTCATTAAATATAATAAATTATATTATGCTTATAATTATATATATATATATATATATATATATATATATATATATATATATATATATATATATATATATATATATATATATATATATGCAATTGACGATCACAAAACACTGATCATTTTATGCGGAAAATCCACAGAGAAATATGAAGAGGCAATAATAATCTTGGAAGCCTCATTTCATATTTCTCTGTGGATTTTCCGCATATATATATATATATATATATATATATATATATATATATATATACGTCTAACCTACGCTTGAAACAATCAAGAGATCCTATTTCTATTATGTTACGCCAACCATTTCTGTCCCGCCCGGGAATCGAACCCGGAATTCTCAATTGTGAGTCGCAAACGAACCCGACTGTACTACCGGGGCAGTAACCCGAGTCCCGTCCCTGGTCTCTACCGGGTCCTAGATATTACTTACAAATACAAATATTTATCCAGGTAAAGTACATACATACAAGGTGAAATACAAAAGTTGATGGATTTATAGATAGAGCTAGTACATACAACGCCTAAAGCCACTATTACGCAAAGCGTTTCGGGCAGTAAGCACTTAGCAGTAAGCACCCTCCAACACAGGCCGCAGACTGGTCGATACTTACCGAGCCTACTGATGGGAGTGTGGGTGAGGTCATGGTCAATGAACTGACCCCACTGCATGACGGAGAGGGTCAGGTCTGGGCTGGGTCGGTCCTGGTCGCCCACAATACTGGTCGACACCAGCCTGGCAGACGGTAGTTCACCACCCGTCACACTCCGACGCGGCCGAGAGAGTCCTGTACGGAAAACAGCAAATGTTTACAAATATGTTGACTGTTGAGTCGAATTTTGCCTTTTGTTTATCTTGATATAACTGTTATAGGGCTGTACAGGACTGTTACCCTGGTATGACAGTTTATTTGTCATTAATTCATTGGTCTGTGTTAATGAGTTTGATGTGTTCGTCTGTGTTCATCAGTTTGTTTGTTCAGTGTTGATGAATTTGGTATGTTGGTCTGTGTTGATGAGTTTGGTATGTTGGTCTGTGTTGATGAGTTTGGTATGTTGGTCTGTGTTGATGAGTTTGGTATGTTGGTCTGTGTTGAGTTTAGAATGTTGGTCTGTGTTGAGTTTAGAATGTTGGTCTGTGTTGAGTTTAGATTGTTGGTCTGTGTTGATGAGTTTGGTATGTTGGACACAGAGTAATCACACTAACGTGACTGAAAAAAATTAGATCGATGAGATCAATGAGAAAATCCATAGTACCCGTACCTAACCTTGCGATGATTTCGGGGCTTTGCGTCTCTGCGGCCCGGTCCTCGACCACAATACTGACCACGAGGCCCGGTCCTCGACCAGGCCTCCTGGTTGCTGGACTGGTCAACCAAGCTGTTGGACGCGGCTGCTCGCAGCCTGACGTATGAATTACAGCCTGGTTGATCAGGTATCCTATGGAGGTGTTTATCAAGTTCTCTCTTGAATACTGTGAGGGGTCGGCCAGTTATGTCTGTTATGTGTAGTGGAAGCGTGTTGAACAGTCTCGGGCCTCTGATGTTGATAGAGTTCTCTCTCAGAGTATCTGTTGCACCTCTGCTTTTCAACGGGGGTATTCTGCACATCCTGCCATGCCTTCTGGTCTCATGTGATGTTATTTCTGTGTGCAGGTTTGGGACCAGCCCCTCTAATATTTTCCACGTGTAAATTATTATGTATCTTTCCCGCCTGCGCTCAAGAGAATACAGATTAAGGCATTTTAGTCTGTCCCAATAGTTTAGATGTTTTACTGAGTGGATTCTAGCAGTAAAGGATCTCTGCACGTTCTCCAGGTCAGCAACTTCTCCGCTTTGAAAGGGTCTGTCATTGTGCAGCAGTACTCCACTCTAGAGAGCACTAGCGTCTTGAAAAGTATCATCATTGGTATAGCATCTCTAGTTTGAAAGGTTCTTGTTATTCAACCTGTCATTTTTTCTTGCAGTTGTGACGGCTACTTTATTGTGTTCTTTAATGGTAAGGTCTTCCGATATGAGTACATCCAGATCCTTTACATTGCCTTTTCGTTCTATGTTATGATTTGCCTGAGTTTTGCACGTGATTTCCGTTTTTATATTTTATTTTTTTCCGTAGCGCATGAGCTGGAACTTATCCACACAGAAATCACAATAAAACTGGAACTTATCTTCATTACTTCCAAATTATTTGCTGTAGCCCATCGAAAGACCTGATTTACATCTGTTTGGAGGTTTGCTGTGTCCTCTATGTTGTCTACTCTCATAAAAATGCTAGTGTTATCTGCAAAGGATGATACAGTATTATTGATTGTGCCCTTGTCTATGTCGGATATGAGGATAAGAAAAAGTACTGGAGCAAGCACAGTACCCTGGGGGACTTAGCTCTTCACGGTTGATGGTCCGGATTTTATTTTGTTGACAATTACACATTGGGTTCTGTTAGTCAGGAAATTATAGATCCATCTGCCTGTTTTTCCGGTAATTTCTTTTGAACGCATTTTGTGTGAAATAACATCATGGTTACATTTGTCGAAACTTTTGCGAAATCTTTGTTAATTACATCAGTGTTTTGTTTATCTTGAATAGCATCTAAGACCATGTCATAGTGGTCCAGTAACTGTGGTATGCAAGAGCGCCCAGTTCTGAAACCATGTTGTCCAGGGTTATGGAGATGCTGTAATTCCATGTATTTTGTAATCTTTCTTCGTAGCACTCTTTCAAAGATTTTTATGATGTGTGATGTTAGTACTATTGGTCTGTAATTTTTTGCCTCTGCCTTATTTCGTCCTTTATGGAGTGGTGCTATCTCTGCTGTTTTTAGTATGTCAGTGATAATGCCAGTATCTACTCTCTGTCTCCAAAGAATGTGACGGGCCTGCGATAATGTTTTTTTTTGTTACAGTTCTTGATGAATATAGAGTTCCAAGAATCAGGGCCTGGTGCAGAGTGCACAGGCATACTGTCTATGGCTTCTTCAAAATCCAGTGGGAATAGCGTGACATCCGATATATGATATGATGATGGTATCACATCCATGAAAAATTCATTTGGATTTTCAATCTTCAGTGTGTTTAGTGGCTCGTTGAAAACAGAGTCGCAGTGATTCCTCAGTATTTCGCTCATTTCTTTGTTTTCATCTGTAAAGGTTCCATCTCCCTTTCGCAGGGGCCCGATACTATAATGTCGTTTTTTATCTTGATGTTGCATAGGAGAAAAAATGCTCCGGATTTCCCTCTATTTCACTGATGGCCTTTTGCTTTCTTTGTCTCTCCTGAATTTCGTATGATTTTTGTATTTTTCTTCCTAACCTTCTTCGCCGTTCTTGAGATGCTGGGATGAGGGTTCGAACTTATACGGTGGGTACACACAGAAATCACAGTAACGTGATAGAGCACATGAACAAATCCACAAGAGCCGTGATGAGGATTCGAACCTATGTACGGGATGTTTCCAGATGCGCCTTAGTCAACTGTACTACAACATGATCTTTTCTTTTAACTATGTCGTGGTACAGTTAACTAAGACGCATCTGGGAACATCCCGTGCATAAGTTCGAACCTTGATCACGGCCCTAGTAGACTTGTTCATTTGATATACCACGTTATTGTGATTTGTGTGTGTATTGAAGGGCGTAAAGATAGAACATCCGGTTGAGAGTGCCCGGGTGCATGGCGGAATTGTGTGAAACCCCAATTGGGCTTTGGAGCAGCTTCAAGATCCTTGTGAGGACAGTAGCGCTCCAGGTTCCTATTCTTTTGACCATGTTGTGGTACAGTTGACTAAGGCTTAGTTTAGAATGTTGATCTGTGTTGATGAGTTTAGTATGTTGATCTGTGTTGATGAGTTTAGTATGTTGATGAGTTTAAAATGTTGATCTATGTTGATGAGTTTAGTATGTTGATCTATGTTGATGAGTTTAGTATGTTGATGAGTTTAAAATGTTGATCTATGTTGATGAGTTTAGTATGTTGATGAGTTTAAAATGTTGATCTATGTTGATGAGTTTAGTATGTTGATCTATGTTGATGAGTTTAGTATGTTGATCTATGTTGATGAGTTTAGTATGTTGATCTATGTTGATGAGTTTAGTATGTTGATCTATGTTGATGAGTTTAGTATGTTGATCTATGTTGATGAGTTTAGTATGTTGATCTATGTTGATGAGTTTAGTATGTTGATCTATGTTGATGAGTTTAGTATGTTGATCTATGTTGATGAGTTTAGTATGTTGATCTATGTTGATGAGTTTAGTATGTTGTTCTGTGTTGATGAGTTTAGTATGTTGATCTGTGTTGATGAGTTTAGTATGTTGATCTATGTTGATGAGTTTAGTATGTTGATCTGTGTTGATGAGTTTAGTATGTTGATCTATGTTGATGAGTCTAGTATGTTGATCTGTGTTGATGAGTTTAGTATGTTGATCTGTGTTGATGAGTTTAATATGTTGATCTGTGTTGATGAGTTTAGTATGTTGATCTGTGTTGATGAGTTTAGTATGTTGATCTATGTTGATGAGTTTAGTATGTAGATCCGTGTTGATGAGTTTAGTATGTTGATCTATGTTGATGAGTTTAGTATTGTAGTAAAAGTGTTGTATATATATCATGCCTGGCTGGAGTTACTGTTGTACCTGATGGGTGCTCGCTTGACTGTTACTGTTTGGTGACCGGCAGATCAGCTGTGACTCACATGTATACAGGTCGGTGTAATGTACTCTTATTTTCTGTTTGTTTTAGCTTTAGTTGATTATGAAATATGTTTATCGTTATAGTGAACAGAAAGTGTTTAAACTGTATATATATATATATATATATATATATATATATATATATATATATATATATATATATATATATATATATATATATATATATATATATTGTATATTATATGGCTTGGTATTGCTGCAGGATGTAACTGTACTTTAATTATTCTATCAACAAAGCCACAAGTCTGGCGAAGCTTTAGATCACATAAGAACATAAGAACAAAGGTCACTGCAGAAGGCCTATTGGCCCATACGAGGCAGCTCCTATTTATAACCTACCTCAAGTATGTTCATCTGTAATAATGAGTTAAGTTTGTTGGTCTGTGTTGATGAATTACTGCTTTAATATGCTGATTTCTGAGCTGCCTTGAAAAGTCTTTCTTGCTGGAATGATGAGCGTATTTCATTCCAGTCTTATGATGATGATGTGTTTTGATAAGTTTTCGTAATTACTTTCTTTGATATCTTTCACAATGACTTACTGCTATACCGGATTTTCTTGTTACTTAGATAAGGTAATGATGAACTAACATACTGCCTCATGATAAAATTAAATGGTGTTGGGTTATCTTGGCATGTTAGACGGCATTGGTGTTTTGTGGTCACTATCTTGTCATTTTGATAATAAATTAAAGTTGAGTAAAGCTTGAAAAGGCACGTAATATCCCTCTTATCTTCATTATTTAGAAGCACCTACAGCGTTTTACTCTGAAAGTGAAAATGAACATTGAGTGTTTGCCGCAGTCATGATCAATGAACATCATGAGGCTGCAATGAACTATAAGAGTTGTTCAGGCCAAGAGTAAATATAGTGAGGACTGTAGTAGCACTCACCGTCGCTGTAGTATAGTGAGGACTGTGGCAACACCGTCGCTGTAGTATAGTGAGGACTGTGGCAACACTCACCGTCGCTGTAGTATAGTGAGGACTGTGGCAACACCGTCGCTGTAGTATAGTGAGGACTGTGGCAACACCGTCGCTGTAGTATAGTGAGGACTGTGGCAACACTCACCGTCGCTGTAGTATAGTGAGGACTGTGGCAACACCGTCGCTGTAGTATAGTGAGGACTGTGGCAACACTCACCGTCGCTGTAGTATAGTGAGGACTGTGGCAACACCGTCGCTGGAGTATAGTGAGGACTGTGACAGCACTCACCGTCGCTGTAGTATAGTGAGGACTGTGGCAACACTCACCGTCGCTGTAGTATAGTGAGGACTCACCGTCGCTGGAGTATAGTGAGGACTGTGGCAACACTCACCATCGCTGTAGTATAGTGAGGACTGTGGCAACACTCACCATCGCTGTAGTATAGTGAGGACTGTGGCAACACTCACCATCGCTGTAGTATAGTGAGGACTGTGGCAACACTCACCATCGCTGTAGTATAGTGAGGACTGTGGCAACACTCACCGTCGCTGTAGTATAGTGAGGACTGTGGCAACACTCACCGTCGCTGTAGTATAGTGAGGACTGTGGCAACACCGTCGCTGTAGTATAGTGAGGACTGTGACAACACTCACCGTCGCTGTAGTATAGTGAGGACTGTGACAACACTCACCGTCGCTGTAGTATAGTGAGGACTGTGGCAACACCGTCGCTGTAGTATAGTGAGGACTGTGACAACACTCACCGTCGCTGTAGTATAGTGAGGACTGTGGCAACACCGTCGCTGTAGTATAGTGAGGACTGTGGCAACACTCACCGTCGCTGTAGTATAGTGAGGACTGTGGCAACACTCACCGTCGCTGTAGTATAGTGAGGACTGTGGCAACACTCACCGTCGCTGTAGTATAGTGAGGACTGTGGCAACACTCACCGTCGCTGTAGTATAGTGAGGACTGTGGCAACACTCACCGTCGCTGTAGTATAGTGAGGACTGTGACAGCACTCACCGTCGCTGTAGTATAGTGAGGACTGTGGCAACACTCACCATCGCTGTAGTATAGTGAGGACTGTGGCAACACTCACCGTCGCTGGAGTATAGTGAGGACTGTGGCAACACTCACCATCGCTGTAGTATAGTGAGGACTGTGGCAACACTCACCGTCGCTGGAGTATAGTGAGGACTGTGGCAACACTCACCATCGCTGTAGTATAGTGAGGACTGTGGCAACACTCACCGTCGCTGTAGTATAGTGAGGACTGTGGTAACACTCACCGTCGCTGTAGTATAGTGAGGACTGTGGCAACACTCACCATCGCTGTAGTATAGTGAGGACTGTGGCAACACTCACCGTCGCTGTAGTATAGTGAGGACTGTGGCAACACTCACCATCGCTGTAGTATAGTGAGGACTGTGGCAACACTCACCGTCGCTGTAGTATAGTGAGGACTGTGGCAACACTCACCGTCGCTGTAGTATAGTGAGGACTGTGACAACACTCACCGTCGCTGTAGTATAGTGAGGACTGTGGCAACACCATCGCTGTAGTATAGTGAGGACTGTGGCAACACTCACCGTCGCTGTAGTATAGTGAGGACTGTGGCAACACCGTCGCTGGAGTATAGTGAGGACTGTGACAACACTCACCGTCGCTGTAGTATAGTGAGGACTGTGGCAACACCGTCGCTGTAGTATAGTGAGGACTGTGGCAACACTCACCGTCGCTGTAGTATAGTGAGGACTGTGGTAACACTCACCGTCGCTGTAGTATAGTGAGGACTGTGGTAACACTCACCGTCGCTGTAGTATAGTGAGGACTGTGGCAACACCGTCGCTGGAGTATAGTGAGGACTGTGGCAACACCGTCGCTGTAGTATAGTGAGGACTGTGGCAACACTCACCGTCGCTGTAGTATAGTGAGGACTGTGGCAACACTCACCGTCGCTGTAGTATAGTGAGGACTGTGACAACACTCACCGTCGCTGTAGTATAGTGCGGACTGTGGCAACACTCACCGTCGCTGTAGTATAGTGAGGACTGTGGCAACACCGTCGCTGTAGTATAGTGAGGACTGTGGCAACACTCACCGTCGCTGTAGTATAGTGAGGACTGTGGCAACACCGTCGCTGTAGTATAGTGAGGACTGTGACAGCACTCACCGTCGCTGTAGTATAGTGAGGACTGTGGCAAAACCGTCGCTGTAGTATAGTGAGGACTGTGGCAACACTCACCGTCGCTGTAGTATAGTGAGGACTGTGGCAACACCGTCGCTGTAGTATAGTGAGGACTGTGGCAACACCGTCGCTGTAGTATAGTAAGGACTGTGGCAACACTCACCGTCGCTGTAGTATAGTGAGGACTGTGGCAACACTCACCGTCGCTGTAGTATAGTGAGGACTGTGGCAACACTCACCGTCGCTGTAGTATAGTGAGGACTGTGGCAACACTCACCGTCGCTGTAGTATAGTGAGGACTGTGGCAACACTCACCGTCGCTGTAGTATAGTGAGGACTGTGGCAACACCGTCGCTGTAGTATAGTGAGGACTGTGGCAACACTCACCGTCGCTGTAGTATAGTGAGGACTGTGGCAACACTCACCGTCGCTGTAGTATAGTGAGGACTGTGACAACACTCACCGTCGCTGTAGTATAGTGAGGACTGTGGCAACACTCACCGTCGCTGTAGTATAGTGAGGACTGTGGCAACACCGTCGCTGTAGTATAGTAAGGACTGTGGCAACACTCACCGTCGCTGTAGTATAGTGAGGACTGTGGCAACACTCACCGTCGCTGTAGTATAGTGAGGACTGTGGCAACACTCACCGTCGCTGTAGTATAGTGAGGACTGTGGCAACACTCACCGTCGCTGTAGTATAGTGAGGACTGTGGCAACACCGTCGCTGTAGTATAGTGAGGACTGTGGCAACACTCACCGTCGCTGTAGTATAGTGAGGACTGTGGCAACACTCACCGTCGCTGTAGTATAGTGAGGACTGTGACAACACTCACCGTCGCTGTAGTATAGTGAGGACTGTGGCAACACTCACCGTCGCTGTAGTGTGGAAGACTGAGTCTCTGGAAGCCGGTCCTGGCCTGGCCCCACATGGGGTGGTCCAGGTTGTTGCAGGAGCCGTCGATGGTGCGGTAGATCCTGTCCTTCTCCTGGCACACGGGGTCCCTCGGACAGGTCTCAGAGAGGACGGTGGTGGACAGGTCAAACTGCTGCAGACCAAACCCAGCCTCCAGGGGAGTCAGATCAAACCTATTCACCGGAGACACAAAATTATGTTTCTGGCTAGTTTAGACAAAGAAATAACGTCCGTCTGGTTAGGTGTTACATAATAGCTTTGAATGTGTGTTTACTTGACTATATTTGAGCCTGTCCTCAGAGTAAAGTAATTATCACGAGACAATTCATTCTCACACCAACTGGATAGTTATCTGACACTTGATATGGTCTGAAAGCATATTACATTCCAATAATAGTCTACATGTAAACTGGCAAGTGAACCTTTATCCTAAGCAGAGAATATTATCAAACTATAATTTCATTGTATTATAAATCGTTAGTTTAAAATATAAAATCTATGCATAACTCATTTTCTTTTAAATTGTCTGAAGAATCTGGTTTTCTGTAAATAAAATTCTATGGGGTACTCAAATACTTTTTGACGTTCATATTTCACATATCTGAGAATAATACACCATTTAAAAGTAATCAAAAGATAACCAAACTTAACATAACCTTAGCCTGATCTTAACCTAACCTAACCTTACCTTTTCCAAACCTAACTTTAACCTAACCCAGTCATGGATAAGACGTAGATAATAGTACTAATAACATATCAGTTTTGAAGCGATTACCTCCAGGGAACCTCCTCCCTATGGATAGGTTGCTATCTATATATTGTTATGAACCCCATGTAGCCTCATGATATAGGTCCGCCCCCCCACACTGAGTTATTCCCAATCTGACCATAGTGAGGAGTCGGGGACATTAAATAGGGGAAGAAACCGTCATTAAATATGACCAAGGAGGAGATAAGTCACGGATGAACATCTTTGATAAAACTTGGAAGTGAGAGGACGACTGTATGTGAATGTCGTGTGCAAAAATGACGTCATCGTGGGAGCATGTCGTGTGCGAAGGTCTTAAGACATCACGTCGTGAGAAGGTCCGAGGAGAATGTTACGAATCAGTTAATTACCTGATTCTAACTAAGAATTAAATATGAAATAATTACATATTTTCAGCCCTCAATTTATTGGTTGGATGAAATTGCATACTATTATGCTTCATTATATAAGTATTTTGTTATAATTTTGTATCATGTTGTCATGTGTCAGCATTGATAGTATTCTTTCATATATGTTGTGGGTTTATTATGATTACGAGGAGTCAGTAGGGCATATCTTAGTGGACATGACCATATAAGAAAGTTTTGTCACCAGCAGTGGTGTACGCATCGTGACCCTGTAATTATTTCTTGTATTGTATTCATATCATTGAAATATTTTAGTATTATGTAAAGTGTATATATAATGTTTATACTTGTGTTTCGAGTGATTATTCTCAGTATGTCAAAGTGTCTGAATGAATTTGTATCTGATATATTTTGGTAACTGTGTGGACGCCACGCGTCTAGGCGTGGGAAGAAGCCAACAACCCGTCCTCTTAAAATAACGTCGCTTTTCGCTCGTAAGCGCGCTATGGCCAAAAATGGACGTAATTTGAAATTAAATCGGCTCACGAAAGTGATGTACTGTCCGGTTTTCTGTATGAGTCCTCCGGCTTACTCGGTTAGGTTAGGAGAGGAAACTTTTAATTAACGGTTTTCATGACGTTTTGAAACCTTAGGAGAACTTCTTGCCCTCCTAACCTACCAGAGGACCCTCAACTTCCTGTTTTGAAAAAAAAAAATCCAAAATTTATGTTCAATTATTATTCATTTTCAAATTACGTCCATATTCAGCCATACGGGCAAACGGCCAAATTCTGAGGAACAGGTTGTACACAGCGTCAGTTGTATGGAGCTGGTCGGACCTCTGTTTTAGATAAGTCTATTTGGTTACTATTTATATTTATTGTGATTGACAAGATGTCTGGTTAGACTATTAATCATATTATATGCCATCTATCTTGTATAGTATTAGTCATTAATCAGTGCTTAGAGGTGTTATTACACCCCATTGTAGTATAAAGATTATTTCTGGATGTTAAGGGCTTATTTTATGTTGTGAGCTATTGTGCCCCATCATGCAGTATATTGATGTTGACATATAGACAGTTGTGTTTTACTTCCCTAGACATATTTTTGATAATAATTGTGAGGTCAGTTTGACATGATTTACAACTGTACGGCAACATGAACCATATCCAGCTGCACTGTGGTGTAACAGAGAAGAATGCACGTCGTCGCTCCAGACGAGGAAAGATATTTGTGACTTGTGGAGAAGAATTTGTGAGGAGCTTCAAGAGTGACGTGTGAGGAAGCTGTGGGAGGGCGATTAGTGACATATATCTTAATTAGTGGCAACGAGTAGGAGCGACCTGAAGCCAGTTGAGTCGTCTTGCCCTTGGGAACCATGGTGGTGAATCCTTTAAGAGGATTATTTTCGGCAGGTGTACCTGATTGGCACCTGTCCCGTGACCCTTGACATGCTAGTCAAGATTTAAAGGAGCTCATTAGTGGTGGTCAAATAGAAGATTGTGTGGGCGACTTATCAGAGCGCCATATTTGGACGTCATGTCGACGAACATCGCTGTCTCTATATTTTGCGGTAAGAGCGGTATTGAACTGCTGTATGTTGCTTGTTGCAGTGAGATCGTTTGCCCAGCGATCTTGTATAATGTTTATGAATGTAGATTAGAAAGTTTGTGGAAATAATGAAATGATATAATGAGTTTAAGGTGAATTGACATTATGGAGGAGGGAGCGACACATGGTCGCTCGGCTGGGGTCAGTGGCTGACTGAGAAGAGCGCCCCTGGGGCCCTGGCGAATGGATATTTTCGGTGTGGACTCGTCCTGGTATGGGAGAACCCTCACAGTACAGGCAGGGACGCGAAATATGGAATTGTGAGGAGGATTTTATTTAATGAATGTTATTTGTGGTTTGATGGGAGGATATTTTTGTTATTGTGTGGTAATAGAATTACAGGTTATGTATGATGGACATGGTGCGTCTAGAGTTGATGTAGCAGTGGTACATGGTAGACACGATTCGTCATTAGTTGATGTAGCAGCGATATAGGAGAAGCTGCTGCAAGAGGATCTACTTAATTTGAAGACCGACTGATGGATGGTCCCAGTAGTGATTCCCAGCTATATCAATCACCATAGAGGTGACTCGTTGTGTAACGAGAGTAGCTGATCTTCCTGACGAGATACAGAGGGTTGTGAGGGCATCAATATATATTTTTAAGAGGTGGATGGATTCATGTAGTATGACTGATGCAATGCAAGGTGAGAGCGTTGATATTTCTTTTGATTTTGTTAACTAATGTGCACGAAGCCTAGCCCAGACGGGAGGTGACTGAAGGAAAGTGGGTTGCTGAAGTGGAGCAAGCAGCAGCCTTACAGAAACAATTAGGTTGTGTACTAATCTTTTGGAAGTGTGATGCTATTTTGTTGAACCATTACCTGATAATACCATGTTATTCTTTGTAATAAATGTTTTTCTGTTAGACAACCGTGTTTGCCCTTGTCCCGGTGAGGTTTTCTAGGAGGAAAGATATATCAATAATTGCAGGCCGGACGACAGCATACAGAAAACAAAAAGGGGAACTAGTAGGCGGTCACCCAAAGACAAGGAGAGAGAGGGTAAGTCTTAGTGGCTCAGTTAGGGTGTGTGCTCATGACGATGGGCCAGTTCTGAGTCGAATCCCCAATAGTATGACGTTGAGCCCCTTCTCCATATTTAAGTTCATAACCGGGTGACTCTCCAGTGTGAGCTCCGCTGGTGTTAGTAACAGTGGTGGTGAAAGAATAGACTAGTTTTTTCTTCAGCGGCTCCCTGACGATCTGAAAGCCCAGGATAAAATTGGGTGACACCTGAGAGAAAGCTCAAGGGGCCCTGATAATAATAAATGTCCATAGTTATGTATCTTTAGTTCTTAGGTACCATCTCTCAACATTCAAATAACTCGCATGATTGTTTTTAATCCCTTTGGGCTTTATCTCACATATTCTTTTAAATCCATGTAAGGGGTTTGGGTGAAGTATTGTACTTCACTTATCTACAGTTCAGTTCTTGTCTAATGTCCCTGAGACCCTTGTGAGTTTATTGGTAGTATTGCTTCTGCCTTTATCAAGGGCTGGTGGGTGGGGCCTCTTCTAAGAGTAAGCAAATTGTTAAAAGAGGGAGATAATCAACTCTTGCCAACAAATTAAAGCCAGACATTCTACTGCAATATTAGACATACATTCATTATCTAGCGTAGCCTAATCTCCCTTGGTGCAGACGCCACAAAACCCATTGTTAGGAGGAATTTGGTTAATAACATATGAATTAAACCAGGTAAGACTCGCCTAGTCATGAGGAGATACGTAGCACGGGAGTTGACAAAAGCGTCTCGGGAAATCTTGACGGCGAGGGGCGAGGTCTTGAAGAACTGAAGGTGCCCGAAGGATGGTGTGGCGTAGTTGGCTACTTGGACACGTCGCTCTCGCAGGTCCTGTAATGTGGCAATGTTATTATTGTTTGTTTTTGTTCTGCTTGTGATGGCCGGTCACCTACTTCAGAGTTCCTGCCACACATACACCAGTAGGCCTACTGCAGTGTTCCTGCCACATATACACCAGTAGGCCTACTGCAGTGTTCCTGCCACATATACACCAGTAGGCCTACTGCAGTGTTCCTGCCACACATACACCAGTAGGACTACTGCAGTGTTCCTGCCACACATACACCAGTAGGACTACTGCAGTGTTCCTGCCACACATACACCAGTAGGACTACTGCAGTGTTCCTGCCACACATACACCAGTAGGCCTACTGCAGTGTTCCTGCAACACATACACCAGTAGGCCTACTGCAGTGTTCCTGCAACACATACACCAGTAGGACTACTGCAGTGTTCCTGCCACATATACACCAGTAGGCCTACTGCAGTGTTCCTGCCACACATACACCAGTAGGACTACTGCAGTGTTCCTGCCACACATACACCAGTAGGACTACTGCAGTGTTCCTGCCACACATACACCAGTAGGACTACTGCAGTGTTCCTGCCACACATACACCAGTAGGCCTACTGCAGTGTTCCTGCAACACATACACCAGTAGGACTACTGCAGTGTTCCTGCCACACATACACCAGTAGGACTACTGCAGTGTTCCTGCCACACATACACCAGTAGGACTACTGCAGTGTTCCTGCCACACATACACCAGTAGGCCTACTGCAGTGTTCCTGCCACACATACACCAGTAGGCCTACTGCAGTGTTCCTGCCACACATACACCAGTAGGCCTACTGCAGTGTTCCTGCCACACATACACCAGTAGGACTACTGCAGTGTTCCTGCCACACATACACCAGTAGGCCTACTGCAGTGTTCCTGCCACACATACACCAGTAGGCCTACTGCAGTGTTTTTCTCAACTTAGGTCCTTATTTTCACTCATCGTGTGAAACAAGTTACAAAAGGTTAAAGTAAAGAAAACAGTGTAAATTACGCACCTCTTCCAGGCGGTCTTGTTGCCTTAGCGCCTGGGCCCCAAGCCTGCCCGCCTCGTTGATGTCGTACATGTTGAGGCTCAGCTGAGGTACCTTGACCACCGGCTCCGAGAACACCTGCCGCAGGTTGACTGGGAACAACATGTCAGGTCAGCCGGGTCTAACTCCTCTAAATGATATTCTCACTTAGCATTATTACACTTCACAAACAACCCCCAGGTATAACCCGCCAAACACACACCGAAACTACGACGTTGGTACAACGTTCGAACAAGTTTTAACACATTAACCAGTTATAACAACCAATATAGCAAGTTGTAACAACGTTCTAATACGTCATAAATACGTTAAGCCAAGATGTAACAACTTTATTACAAGTTGTAACAAGCGGAAAATAGACACAGTTACGGTTTGTGTTTCCAGGGAATAGAACCAGGCAACCCCGTTCTCTCGAGTTTTCACAACAGACAGATAATATTGTGTTAATTTGCTCGAACCTAACCTAACCTAACCTAACCTAACCTAACCTAACCAAACCGATAGACCCACACATAGAAAACGGGAATGTTTGTGAGCTACTATGATTTAGAGTATATTTTGTCCGTTGGAGATTTTGACGTCAAAATGCGGTACATTATTAGAGAGGACAAGCTGAATCATAAACGTACGAACCCAAGCAACCCGCCTAACCTATCGAGGACGATGTATAGAAAACGTCAGTAATACAGTAACTTTACTGTTGCTGTAATAGTATGATACTGTAATAGTATCACGTATAAGTGGACGTGAGGTGCGGGGCAAGTCCTGTATGAGTGGGCGTGAGGTGGTGGCAAGTCCAGCAACAATGGACGTAAGGGGGCAAGTGCAGCATAAGTGGACGTAAGGGGGCAAGTCTAGCATAAGTGGGCGTGAGGTGGTGGCAAGTCCAGCATGAGTGGGCGTGAGGTGGTGGCAAGTCCAGCATAAGTGGGCGTGAGGTGGAGGCAAGTCCAGCATGAGTGGGCGTGAGGTGGAGGCAAGTCCAGCATGAGTGGGCGTGAGGTGGTGGCAAGTCCAGCATAAGTGGGCGTGAGGTGGAGGCAAGTCCAGCATGAGTGGGCGTGAGGTGGAGGCAAGTCCAGCATGAGTGGGCGTGAGGTGGTGGCAAGGCCAGCAAGAGTGAACGTGAGGAGGCAAGGCCAGCAAGAGTGGGCATAAGGTGGGGCAAGGCCAGCAAGAATGGACGTGAGGGGCCAAGACCAGCATGAGGGGGCAAGGCCAGCATGAGTGGGCATAAGGTGGGGCAAGGCCAGCAGGAGTGGGCATGAGGGCGTGAAGAACGAACATATTTACGATCTCAAATATGGTCATTCTATGTCATTCAAGATCTGAAATATAGTTGTTCTACATCTTCTAAGATTTTAAACATGATCGTTCTACATCCTCCAAGATAAAAAATATGGTCGTTTTACGTCCTCCAAGATCTCAAATATGGGCGTTCAACGTCCTTCAAGATCTGAAATATGGTCGTTCTACGTCCTCCAAGATCTCAAATATGGGCGTTCAACGTCCTTCAAGATCTGAAATATGGTCATTCTACGTCTCACACCTAACCAAAATTGACTTAGACTGGTATAGTTTGTTTTCTCTGATTTGGCCAAATTGGGTATATATACATAGTAAAGAGGGTCGATGGGTGCGGTTATGATGTATGACATTAATACCTAACTAGTAAGTAATTATCAAAGGAGTAAGTCTACAGCTCATCTCAAACAGTAAATGACTATAATGTAATTCTGTTTTTACTGTTACTTCAAACTAAACCTTGCCGGCATAATGGAATTCGATGACATATCAGTTCACCCATCAGCAAGAGCACACCAAACGTCCATAGTGTGACTACCCCAGGTCCAGACACGTCATGCTTCTTGGTTAACTAATGCATCCAATTTTAATAATACTAATCAGAATTTGTCCTTTCCCAGCAATAAAACACAAAGAAAAAAAAGACATTATATCTTAAATCAAATCGGGTCTAAGTTCCTTAGGCAGTGCTGGCGATGGTCAGTTCTTGTTGTGTTACATGGTGTCCAGTGAGCTAATTGGCTTGTGCATGGCGCATAACATTCAAGTGGTTGGCTCTTGGTAGAATAATAAAGTTAATACCTTGAATTAAATCTGAACCTAAATGTTCAACAACTTATTGGATAGCCCAAATTCTAATCAAATAAAATTTAAATAAACAAACACCCAAACGTTTTTTGTGTGATATCAAACTATCTCAAAATCTTATACAGTCCTCTAATCACCAAAAGTAATAAGAAATTTGCCACACATATTCCAATAACAAACACTTTCAAGCAAATGACATTAAGATTGGATGCAAGGGTTAATTAACCCTTCCAGTGCAGACGGAATCGCGGAAGTCCTCTCCTAGTATGGAATTTTTCAGAAAATAAGAAAAATATTTGTTTTGTTCAATTGTATAGGAGAAAGCATAGCAGGTTCAAATAAAATAATAATAATGCGATGTAGTGTGGTGGTAGACTGAGAAAGAAGTGTTTACTCTGTGTCATCAAGAGAAAACTAAATGCACAAAGATGCAAACAGCAGTCTAAGGGTTAAGAGGTACTCGTAATGAGAACATAATATACAGGACTGAGCAAATGCAGTAGATAGTATGTGGACAAACACGTACAAACAAAGTAGATAGCATGAGAACAAACACAGTAGAGAGCACGAGGACAAACACGTACTTTTGTTGGGTAGTCCGGGGCAGCAGACGCCAACAGCACCTCCGAAGATGGAGCAGAAGAGCTGGGGTTGGTTCTCCACCTGATGAAAGCAGGGGGCGCAGCTCACCAGCGGCAGACATTCCGTGCCATATGGGCACCTCCTTGCTTCAGGATTGGGGGGCGGCACTGTTGAAAGGAACAACGTTGAAACTGGAATTAAAATATAATATTTATCTGCCTGAGCAACCTTATTATGCACATCAAGAATGAAAGTAACTTGGCACTGTTGTAGCCAATGCTTAGAGCTGAGGGGCAGAAATGGTAGTATTGGATAATAAATAACATACTTTTTGATGTTTACATTTGTTTACTTTTTAATTAGTTGTATATGAACTTCACATCGGTATCGATCTGGATATGTTTTAAATAGCCTATTTGAACTTCAGTCATCGGTAAAGGTAAATGTTATAACCTAGGCGGTAAAGGATAAATGTTATAACCTGGCTGTTCAATGCTGCCAAGTGCGGTGTGAAACATTGTTAGGATGAACACTATCGGTAACTTTGGACCGGACTCGCGTCCATTATTTTTCTCCTGAGTCCTAACTTTGGACCGGACTTGCGTCCACTACAAAAAAATATTTGTATAAAATTCATTTTTTATCCAATCGACCTCGGGATAGTATCAAAATAAGCGCCTTTAGATTGCGCACAATTTGATATCAAAATGAAAGATATAACATGAAACTTGATGTCCGAACACTTGAAAGATTATAAATAGGTTTTTGGTCAAAATATTAATATATTTGTTAAAATTCTATTTATTGTCCCATTATCTTGGGACTAGTTTTAAAATGCGCGCCTTTACGTCGCGAACAATTTGATACCAAAATGAAAGATGTAACACCAAAATTTATGTCAGAACACTGGAAAGATATAAATAATTTTGTGATGATGAGCGTCCAGAATTAAAATATTTGTTAAAATTCCAGTTATTGCTCTATTATTATGGGACTAGTTTTAAAATACGTGCCTTTTTATTGCGAACAATTTGATACCAAAATGACAGACGTAACACGAAATTTGACGTTATCAAATTGAACGAGTATACACATTAGGCTGCAGTGTACAAATTGGTGCTCGTTCACGGGTAACTTTAGGCTTTTCTGCGGTGAGGCACTCCAGGCTTTTGTACATTATATTCATACACACCTGTAGGGAATTTAATTGCGAACACAATGATACCAAAACGAGCGACGTAGCACGAGAATTAAGGTGAGAAAGCTGAAACGAGTATACACATTTAGGTGTCACCGCGCGCTTACTTGCACGCTCGCCCACACGCTCGGTGCATGATCCCTAAGTTGACTGCGTGCCTGCCCGGTGCGCGATAGTGCTTATTAGGATGCTCACAAACAATCGTCTTCCATAGTATGTGTCCAGCAGTCCAAGAGTTAACAAGCAGCCTCATCTTGAATACCATACTCTGCTGCTATTTGACTTTTTTGTAATCTTTGGTAAAACATTTATGGAAAACTAATAATAAATAAAATGTTTGAAAAAGCGCGTAGCTTACCTCCATATCTGTACGAGGGGGTTTGGAGTGGCTGGAGGTGGAGAGGCACGGGGGTGACTGGTGGGTAGGACCTGGAGGCGAGGCCCAGGAATGGCTGGCTGGCCGCCGGGGTGCGGCTCGGGCTGTATATTTGAATAGGACTGAGACTCTGAGGTCTATTCCCCAGCACTGGCTGCCAGGATGCCTTGTGGAACCAAGGAAGAGGATTTTAAAATGGCTATATCATTATGGGAGTCCATCACAGCCGCCAAGAGCACGGGGGATGGGATTCTGCTGTTGATTTAGTTTCTTACAAATACAGCATTTACTGTTATGTTTTCAATTACTTTATGGCATTATTCTATAGCATATAAATGATATATTTATAACACATTGACTTGAGACAATCAAGGTTACAGACAAATGTTTCAGTCCAAGGGTTAAGTGACGTGTTTAAAGGTTATGGACATGCTGTGAGGTGCTCAGGAGCCAGAGGCTAAGCGGTGTTGGAAGGTGTCAAGTGTTTACGTCTAGGGGAGGAAAATGCCTTAAAACATAAGAGTAAAGGAAATGTTTGCCAGGATCAGAAAGTACACTTGTACACTACACATATTGTACTTAAAATATGTAAGTGCACTTAACTCAGGAATATGTACTTGGGATATGTAAAGGTGTAACATGTAGATATCAAATCTATGTATTGTGTGCTAGGAAGACGAACACGGGTCCTGAAGTACCTGGACCGCGGGAGTGTGTACCCAAAGGTGCAGTGGCTGTGTGCCTGGAGAAGTTATGTGCAACCAATTGATTACAACTAAACATTTAGTGACTGTTTAACAACATACATTCTGAGAACCGAGGGAGAGACAGAAGTGTATCAGGGCCAAGTATTCAGTGACTTCCCCTCGTGTATATCCAGCTTGTAAACAATAAGGCAGTACACAAAATGAACCTTACCAATGGCGTGTCTACTGTAAAGACAGGTCTGCCTGGGACTCTGTCCAGGTTGTCAGAGTTGAAGACTTGCGATCTGAAGAAGCTGGGCTGTCCATCGACGATGATGTTGGAGTCCAGGTGGGTGGACACCTCACTGTAGGCTCTGCCAAGGAGGAAGGAAAATGTCAGCTGCCTAGCACATCCAGGTTTTTGTACCTGTCGTCTGTGACACACATCTGTATCTGCGCTCTTTACCCACTAAATGTATTTGACAACAAAACCTATGCGAAAGTTATTTATTACACCAATAAAGCACCCCCCCCCCCCGCATATAACACCTCCTGGACAAGCTGGAGAAATGGTCGAACAAATGGTTGTTAGAGTTTAACCCAAGCAAATGTATTGTAATGAAGATAGGTGTAGGTAGCAGGAGACCAGATACAAGGTATCATTTGGGAAATGAAAAACTTCAAGAGTCAGAGAGAGAGAAAGATCTGGGGGTTGATATCACGCTAGACCTGTCCCCTGAAGCCCATATCAAGAGGATAACATCAGTGGCATATGCCAGGTTGGCTAACATAAGAATAACATTTAGAAACTTGTGTAAGGAATCTTTCAGAAAATTATATACTACATATGTGAGACCAATCTTGGAGTATGCGGCCCCAGCATGGAGTTCATATCTAGTCAAGCATAAGACTAAACTGGAAAAGGTTCAAAGGTTTGCCACCAGACTAGTACCCGAACTGAGGGGTATGAGCTACGAGGAGAGACTACGGGAATTAAACCTCACGTCACTGGGAGACAGAAGAGTTAGAGGGGACATGATCACCACATACAAGATTCTGAAGGGAATTGATAGGGTAGATAAAGACAGACTTTTTAACATAAGGGGCACACGCACTAGGGTACACAGGTGGAAATTGAGTGCCCAAATGAGCCACAGAGACGTTAGAAAGATTTTTTCAGTGTCAGAGTAGTAGACAAATGGAATGCATTAGGAAGTGATGTGGTGGAGGCTTCATGCACAGCTTCAAGTGTTGATATGATAGAGCACAGTAAGCTCAGGAACCTGTACATTAGTGGATTGACCGTTGAGAGGCGAGACCAAAGAGCCAGAGCCAACCCCCGCAAGTACAACTAGGTGAGTACCTGTTCCAGCATCTTGGTCCTAGATGAGATGAGCATCTTAGTCGCTCATCTCATCTACTACCAAGCGTGGTTGCTCTCTCCTTCTATGATGGGGTTATACCCTTGTGAACAAAGTTTGATTTGATCTCTTCTCACTTATGGCGGAATTATACCCCTGTAGATCAAGTGGGTTTCGACTGAGGGATGAAGTCACTCACCGGTCAAACTGTCCCGTAGAGTACACCTGACGTCTGTCTCTCTCTGCGTCACCCGGAGGACGGATGCTGTTGCTTTTCTCTACCGCCTCTGTGTGGTTGGCAACATTGAATCTCTCCACGCCACCGGAAGGACTCACGATGTTGCTGTTCTCTGCAGTTTCTGTGTGGTTGGCAGCACTGTGTCTCCCGGCGCCACCCGAAGGATTGAAGACGATGCTGTTCTCCACAGTCTCTGTATGACTGGCACCAGTGACTGCACTGGCGTTGTGTGTGTGGTTGGCAGCAGTGAGCCCAGCCAGCACCAATAACACTGCGGCTTCTGTCTTCCTGAAGAACGAGACAAACACATGTGAAACCATCTCAGGTGCAATAATATAGTTTTAGGAATAAAAATTAAATAATAATTGTTTGTGTAGTGCGCTTTTAACAATGTTTGTACTTTGTTACCAGTAATGTTATGCTTTTACTGCTGCTACTGCTTCTGCTGCTACTGCTTCTGCTACTGCTACCACTGCTGCTACTGCTTCTGCTACCACTGCTGCTACTGCTGCTGCTACCACTGCTGCTACTGCTGCTGCTGCTACCACTGCTGCTACTGCTTCTGCTACTGCTTCTGCTACCACTGCTGCTACTGCTACTGCTTCTGCTACCACTGCTGCTACTGCTACTGCTTCTGCTACTGCTTCTGCTACCACTGCTGCTACTGCTTCTGCTACCACTGCTGCTGCTGCTACCACAACTGTTACTGCTGCTGCCACTACTGTTATTGCTGATACCACTATTGTTACTGCAGCTACCACTATTGTTACTGCTGTTACCACTATTGTTACTGCAGCTACCACTATTGTTACTGCTGCTACCACTATTGTTACTGCTGCTACCACTATTGTTACTGCTGCTACCACTATTGTTACTGCAGCTACCACTATTGTTACTGCAGCTACCACTATTGTTACTGCTGTTACCACTATTGTTACTGCTGCTACCACTATTGTTACTGCAGCTACCACTATTGTTACTGCTGTTACCACTATTGTTACTGCTGCTACCACTATTGTTACTGCAGCTACCACTGTTGTTACTGCTGCTACCACTGTTGTTACTGCTGCTACCACTATTGTTACTGCAGCTACCACTGTTGTTACTGCTGCTACCACTATTGTTACTGCTGCTACCACTGTTGTTACTGCTGCTACCACTGTTGTTACTGCTGCTACCACTGTTGTTACTGCTGCTACCACTATTGTTACTGCTGCTACCACTGTTGTTACTGCTGCTACCACTATTGTTACTGCTGCTACCACTATTGTTACTGCTGCTACCACTATTGTTACTGCAGCTACCACTATTGTTACTGCAGCTACCACTATTGTTACTGCTGCTACCACTATTGTTACTGCTGCTACCACTGTTGTTACTGCTGCTACCACTACTGTTACTGCTGCTACCACTATTGTTACTGCTGCTACCACTATTGTTACTGCTGCTACCACTGTTGTTACTGCTGCTACCACTGTTGTTACTGCTGTTACCACTGTTGTTACTGCTGCTACCACTGTTGTTACTGCTGCTACCACTACTGTTACTGCTGCTACCACTGTTGTTACTGCTGTTACCACTATTGTTACCACTATTGTTACCACTATTGTTACTGCTGTTACCACTACTGTTACCGCTGCTGCTACCACTACTGTTACTGGTCAAAAAGATTACAACCTGTGGTTCTACTGGACCTACGAGGGTTCCTGAGGCTGCCACCGAAGTCGAAGCAGGGTTCTTACACTCCCCTCGTGCACTCTGGCTCTGTTGTCTAGCGCAAGGTGGAACATTCCTAGACGACAGAGCCAGAGTGCATGCCAGGAGTATGTGAAATCCTGACACGGCTTCAGTGGAAGCCTCAGAAACCCCAGGTTGTAATCCTTTTGACCATGTCGTGGCCTGGTTGTTTAAGGTTGTCTGTGGCTGGAAATACCCAAAGCAGAGGTTCGAATCCTAATCACGGCTACTGTGGATTCTCTCAGTGTTAATGTTGTTAACATAGACGATGTTGTGGGTGCAACACAGAGCAACTTCAATGAGACTCACAACATTCTGCAGCATCTCCAGCCTCGCCCCGTCATCTTCCTTAGTCAGGTGTCACAGGCGGAGATAAGTTCCCGCCCACCGGGTACGTCGCCAGCAGACACAGACGCACCGGATAGGACGCCAGCAGACACGGACGCACCGGGTAGGACGCCAGCAGACACGGACGCACCGGGTAGGACGCCAGCAGACACGGACGCACCGGGTAGGACGCCAGCAGACACGGACGCACCGGATAGGACGCCAGCAGACACGGATACACCTGATTAGACGCCAATAGACGCCGGAAAAACTGTGTAAAACACCAACAGACCCGGATGCGATGGATAAGACGCCAGCAGACACAGTAGCGCCGGGTATGGTGTCAGGTGATACGGACGTGCGCCAGCAGACACAGTAGCCCGGGAATGGTATCAGGTGATACGGACGTGCGCCAGCAGACACAGACTAGCACACCCTTGTTTCCTGCACCAAACGCACCTGCTCAATGGTTTACCTCCGTCGCTTCGTACACTATATATAGGAGTCAGTCACCGCCTGCAGAGTGCGGCACGGGCACGCCTCGTTTGTAAGAGGATCCTGTTTTAAGAGTTGAATATTTCCACCTTCGCTTTCTCTCTCTCTCCCCGCCACAGAGACGCCCTTCCCACCTCCCAGGGCAAAGTTTTCCTCCTCTCATACCACATTCTCCTCCCGACTCAGTGGAGGGATAAACTTGAAGATAGTAAGAACGCCAAGGTGGCAAGACAGAGACAGCGAGAACAATGCACACTCAAGAACCCATAGCAAGGTACAGATACCGAGTCGTAAGTTGTAAATACACACAAAAGAAGGAGAAATGCACACTAAGAACGCAAAAGAAGCTGGATACACAGAGACAGGAGGAGCAGTGCACACAGAGGACAGGCAACCTTCACAAAACATCGCTACTTGGAATATGAAAGTTATATAAAATCCGTATGGAAGAGAAGCTAGTGAACAGTGTTAGTGAAGAGGTCAAGGAAGGGATCAGACCAGCAAAGGGGCTGAGGAAGTCGAGAGACTACATCCGTGGGGACTACATGACCACACCTACCCGAAGTGTAATAGAAGGACGAATTACAAGATAAGACAAGAGATATGACAGTTCAGAACCTGTAAATGTGTACAGATCATTGAACAGCTCGTCCTACTGAAGAAGAATTTTTACGAAAAGAGTAAAGAACACTATTTCAAGCGGGAGATCAGGTAAGAGGACAAGACCACAAAGAAATGAAACAAAATACAGGGAACATGACACAGAAAACATGAAAAAAAGAGTCATAAATGAACATGCCAGAATAAGGAGGGCAGTGGAGGAACAAATTTGAAGATGACATAGCAGCGAGAGCAGAGAACCAACCAAAGCTAAACAGTTAAACACAGAGGAAGAGAGCAGGTACAGACCCAACAGAACAATATCAAAGAGTCTCAGTTAAAGGAAAGTATCGAACCGGAATGAACAGTCAAATGAGAGAGATCCCCCAAGACTTGGTCCTGGGCCTCTTGTTGCTGATGTATGTCAATGTCTGACCCGACGAAGCCAACTCATACAAGTTGATGTTTAGAGGTGAAACAAAAGTAACGGAGAATGTAAACCGTGAGAACTGCAGGTGACACAAAAGTAACGGGGAATGTAAACCTCGAGAAGTGAGGTAGAAAATCTTAACAGTTTCAGGGATGGGCAGAAAAGATGGCTTTATTGCTCAAACCCCAAGAAGTGCAAGGCAATAAACATAAGCGAGAAGATACAAGACTCCGTAACTGGAAGACATCTATAGGAATTGAAGCGTAATGATCACATGAGATAGGATATAATTCCAGCACTGACGCCAGGGATACACCAATACCATTTGTATAGTTTAGCATTAAATGTCTGCCTCGTCAAACCATTAAACAACCTAACGGTATTATTTTACATTATGCCTTTGCATATTACTGGCCATATTAAATGTAAATACTCTGTAACAGTTATTAAACCCACCTATAATATTATTTTGTATATTTTGAATAAATTATTATTATTATTATTAATTATTATTATTATTATTACTATTATTATTACTATTTCACACAGAAATCACAATAACGTGACATATCTTCTTCTTCTTGTGAATAGGTGCAGTTTGCATGAAGGGTTAACCCTCCCGATGACTGCACCAGGACAGTTGTAAGGAGACGCGTTGACGGTCAGGAGGAGAAGAAAGTCAAAAGCGGTAGATGTGATGGGCCGTAGAGAGAGGAGGGGCGACGAAAACAGAGGCGAAAGTTAGAGGGAGACACCCCGCACCGGGGGGCGGGGCGTCGTGGTCACGGTGGCAGCTGATCCATGCACGGCTTAGCAGCGTACGCAAGATGGGAACTAATACTTCTCCGGAAACTTGTGTATCGGAAAGCGCAAGCAATACGCTTCCCAAATCACCCGCAGGTCAGCGGGCAGCCGGCCACCAGGCGGCGCCCTCGGCTGAGACATCTTATCCGGCACCCTATACACACACTCCTTCACCCGCGACACCCAGACAGTGGACGAGAACCACGGGATCGGAAGCACCCGGGCATCCCGATAAGGGCCCAACTCCGGACCCTCACAGGGCACGACCCCAGCAGACGGGACTAGGCAATCCCCAGACCGGAGCAAGGAAGGAGGGGATACAGCAGGGGATGCAGGCGCGGCACCGACCCCAACACCGGGCACAGGAGCCGAGGCCCCCTGGCGCACATCTTTCCGCAACAGCACTACGAGGTCCCGATCATCAGGGACAACCCCCCCACTGCGGAGATCCAACAGCAGGTGACGCAGGAGGAGAGGCACAGGTAGCAACTTCGGAGCCCCTCACAGCACCATCATCCTCGACGGGGGGCGCCAGATCACTATACTCCCCCACCTCCTCCCAAGGCACACCACGAAGGGGGGAGACACTCCGAGCCCGCCGTAAACGCTTCAAGACAGGCCGCACCACACCACTCCCAGCAGGCCCCGCCGCAGGCACAGTCACCATCTTCACATCCACACAGGCCACACCCGCACCGTCCAAAGAGTCCACAGAGGCCACATCACCCACACTGTTCACATCATCCAGGGAAACAGCCTCAGAACACCGACGCGCACGCTTCTGCAAAGGGACGGAAAGAGCAGAACTACAGTCGCCAACACACAGGCACGGCAGCCACCTCCCCCTGCCGAAGCACCCCCTCCAAAACAGCAGAACCCGCGTTCCCGGGAGACGGTATCACATCCACAGGCGGAGGCGGGACATGAACCTCCACCGGGACATCCTGCACTACACGCAGCTCAGGCGACGGCCCGACACCCACACTCACCGGCTCAACAACCCCAGGAGCCACAGCAGTCACCAGACGTGTCGCACAGGCCGTAGAACTCGCCTCAACAGGCGGAGCAGCAGACAGGCAATCAGGCGCCTCAGGCTCAGCACCTACTCCGTCCTTAAACCGTCCGAACGTAACAAGGGCGGGAAATCCTCTGCACGAAAAACATGCACCCGACCAGTTGCTCCCACGTCGCACGCCGCAGCCAGACGTGACCACACCGATAACAGGTGCGCGGTTGACCCCGGTACAAGCAGCGGAGCGTGTAACCCAACGCGGACATCGACGACGGTACACTACACTTCAGCGACATCGTCAGGGTGCGGGAGCCGTCAAGCATACCAACACAGTGCCCGGCAACGACCTTGTTCCAACGAACACTTAACACTGTCCCAAATCGCTCAAAACAGGAGGTTAAAAAGTCGTCCTGAAATTCGAAGGGGGCACCATGCACCACCACAGACGTCAAGGTGACACTAAGATTCACCACCTTCACTGAGCCAGCTGAATCAGGGAGAGGGTAAACACGCCCCTCACAACGCTCGAGAAACGCCTGAAAGGCAGCCTGGAGGCGGCCTGGCCGGTGGTCACTACGCAACTCCACGTGACATATCAAATGAACAAATCCACAAGGGTCTTAATGAGGGTTCGAACCTATATGCTGAGTGTTCCGAGACGCGTCTTAATCAACTGTACCACCACATATGGTGGTACACTTCAACCCGTTCTCACACCAGGCTGTTTAAAGCAGCGCCCGTCCTCCCCTGACGCAGTCATCAATTTTAACATACTGTATTAAAAATTGGTTTGTTCTCATATATAAATTAATATTCTGATACATAAAAATTGTATGTATAGTTTGGCATAGGTTAGGTTAGGTTAGTTGTTTAGGTTCTGTTGGTAATTATCTGTATTTATAAGTTCGTGGGTGAAGCATTTAAAGAATTGTGGTTCGAACAAAGGATGTGAGCGAAGCACTTGTTCCGGAAGTGTTCAAACGTCATCAGTTGTGAGTCGTGTGTAAATTCTTTTCTGATTTGGAGAGGACTCGGCTTGCATATGCAATGGCATGTTTTTTCTGTCGCTAGTTTGTGATAGTACGGCTCCTAATCCAATATTATTGGCGTTGGTGACTAAGACAAACGGTTTGTTCTGCAATAAGTTAGCGAGCACGGGAAGTGGAAATCTATCAGGTATCGTCACTTGGTTAAGTTGTCTGAAATCAACAACGGGAGGCCAAGAATCATTTTTCTTGGGTACTAAGATCAATGGAGTATTCCATGGAGAGGTACTTTCTTCAATAACACCTTCGTGTAACATCTCGTCAATAAGTCGGTCTGCAACAACTCGTTGAGAATGAGACAATCTGTATGCAGGTACATAAATTGGTCGAGTGCCTGGTTCAAGAGGAATTTTGTGAGTGATGATGTGTGTCAGTCCAAGTTGTTCTCCTGTCAGTGTAACAGCAATACGATGTTTGTTAAGGATGGTTAGCAACTGAGCTTGGGCGTCTGGGAAGTCAGTGGGACTAAGATGCTCAGGTGAGACCGCTAACTGATTTCGATTTGTCGTATGAGAGAGTGCATGTACCATTTGTTCAGTAGAGGCCTCATCCACTACTCGCACCGGTAACGAATAATGGGTGAAGTCTACAATGTGTGTGTCTGATGTGAGGTGAAGGTTGGCCTTGGTAACATTAGCAACATAAACAGCGGTAGTGTTGTTCTGTATCTGATGTAAGGATGATTCTATGTAGGTACTTTTTATTTGACATGTGTCACTGTCTGCTATTACGTGATCTAGGTCAGGTACATCAGGAATATTGACAATACTCTTTGTTAGTGCGTGAGAATGTAGTATGGTGTCTTGGTGCACGATGCTTCTGACTTGATTGGTGTTAGACTCTAGGCAAGTAAGGTAATGAACAATTGCTGGGGATCCTTGCAAAGATTCATTGACCTCACCGACTTGAGACTGTGTGGTTGCGTGATGGACTGGTATCTGTAGGTGACTGAGTGACGGCTTTGTTTGGGTGACTGGTAAAGTGTATCCTGGTCACTACTGGCTTTTAAGTAACTGATATATTCCTTATGGTTGGTGAACTGGTATCCCATGGCGAATACAC